TGATTGCTGGAGAAAATTTTTCTTAATGGAAAAGAATCACGGTTGAACACACTTGGAACTGCCACCAAGGCCCAGTCCATGCACAATGTTTTTTTTTCTACTGATCGTATTGGATATTCAAGAAATTCCGAGAACTTTCTTTCCAATCAGATATCACTAACTATCTTGAATCTTGAATAGTGGTTATGTTGAGAGGTTTCCAACTCTGTTTACATCAAAAGGCCAGTCATTGGTTTGGGTGAGGGGTGGTTGGCCCATAGGGGTTCAAAATGCATTAACTTTATGGGAAGGAAGTTCCATTCCACAAAAAAATCATTGGTCTGCTCTCAGAGGGATGGTAGGGATGAGGGATTTCACCATAGCATAATATGAACATGTATAAGAGTAATGCTGGTATCAAAGGCTTGTCTCTACAAGTTTGTAATAGAGGCAATTTTTTTTACCTCCAAAATTTAAGAGGTAGAACTATCTTTCAAAAGGTTTTTGTGATTCACTTGCATTGTGATTCTCTGCATTCACAAGCATGTGCACAGGACGATTAATGTTTAACCCTGTAAATAGTGGTGGAGGTCCAAAGAAATAACTGGATCTATAATTTTAAAATTTCCTTCATCAAAATAAATGAATATGAAATAATAAAATTTTGCATTGCAATCAATCTGCATTACAGGGAAAAGAAAGAATCACTTCATAATACAGAAATGAGAAAATGAAAATATTGTGACAATACATCTTATTCATGCATGGGAGGACAGATGTGACAGTGACACCTTCAGTGCTAAGCTAGAAATATATTTTCTGTATATAATTACAGATGTTGGCTCCAGGAAGAGCTCTCACTTTAGTTTCAGGGAGACATATTTGAGTCATCTACTTCATAAAATTTGCAAATTATGCAGTGCAAAAGTACAAAAGTACATTACTTCACATTGGAAAACAATACCCTATAACCAGCTTTCATGTGGTTAAAGGGGTAGCTCATGAACTGGTATCATATATCCAACACCACAAGTCAGGCTCATACCTGTCAAAAAACATCTTTAAAAAATATTAAAAAAGGAAATACATGCAGCATCCAAAGCATGCAGCTATCAAATGCAGTTGAAACTCCATCAATCTTCTGCCCTTCAGTTGCCCCATGCATTGATAAAATCTCCTCACCTCATGTCCATTTCATATGAAGTCATTGAAGAGACTATCCTATAATAGTACAGTTTCCTTGGTGCTTGCCACATTTAGGACAGTATTTATCAATCTGGCAATGAAGTGCCTAATGCTTAAACCTTCTTTTTGCAACATATTTATGAAGAAAGAATCATATAATAAGGGAAGAGGACAGTGTCAATGACAAGTGCATCCTTCAGATACCCCTTGGTGCATGGGAAGAAGAGCCACTCTGATGCTAGTCATCTCTGATGGGCTAATATTCAACAGGAGATGAGAGGATGTCCTGAAAGATTTAAATGGTCCCAGAGACCTTCAAGCTAAGACCTCCCTTCAGACCAGGCTATATATTTCATAAACTATGAGCTCAGGGAACTTGAAACTGACTTGACTCACCAAGGTGTGGGGCAATGATAGGAACCAATCCATTCAAGATTTTCAACGTATTTGCCTTAAAATCTTCTGCAATTTTCTTCCTGTAATAATCCTTGAAACATGTGGTCTCCAGTGCTTCTCGCACCTTTATCCTGATACAAAAGAACACCATATTCACTCATAAAGATGTACTTCCCTGCAGTCTCTCAAGACTTTGAGAACCAATTCAGAGAGAACCTCACAGAAAGCTATGTTCATATATTCTATCACCAAGAGTGTCATCAGGAAACAAATCCAAGCAAGTGGCCTCTGCAAGTCGCTTGGTGCATGCAATCAGTTTCTCCTTCTTGATTGGGTCTTTCACTGCTTCCTTGAGGAGCACACGAAGTGGACGCGTCCATGCCAGGAACTCGTCAGCAGTGACGTCTTCAGTTGGGAAGGAGTCCTCTGGCAAAGACATTTTCTTTTTACCTTTTCGTTTCTTTCCTGATGCTGAACGATTCCTCCAGTAGTCCTCCAACAGATGCACTCCTAGAAAACAGAACCACTTCTGCAATACTTTATCCCACATTCTTAAAATTACAGACCTGCCAATCCACTCCCAGCAGCCCATCCAAATTTCAATTCATTCTGTTCATTAGTTCCTGCAGGAAACTGTCATTCATCAGTTAAATATACAAATAAGTCACCCTGAATGTGAAAATAAAAAAATAAACTCTAACTTTGACCATCTTTCAGTAGCTATCTGTCATTTACTGCAAGTAGATGAATTCCTGTGTTGTCAATAAAACATTTGACCCATCTAATATTTGAAGCAATGGGTGTGTGATAAGGACTCATGGTGAGTACATGCCTTGTGTAACAAAGAATGGGGGATGCTGAGAGAGGGTGTGATAAAGAGATAAATATATGGCAAATACACTCACGGATATTGAAGTCAAGCATTAGAGCTTGAGCATTGTGGAGATGTTCATTTAAGGTGTTGCATTGGTTGAAGAATATCTTGGTAGCTTTCTTATACAAGTTCACTACCCCAGGGCTTTCAGAATGTAGCCATCCCTCAACCTGCTACAAGTTTTAAATAATGAATTTAAGGCCTCCTCATCCTTGCAAGGATAACACCATTCTTTGAAAATGAGTGCAGGAGGACCAACCTGCATAAGAAGGAGGGTTTCCTTGAGTCTCTGGATATCTTCATAAATGTTCTCTAAGTATTGACCAATAATGCAATCTGCTTCATACATTTCCTCAATCTCTTCCTGGATTCGGTAAGGAAGATCACAGTCATACTTGGAATCATCCACATCCTTCCATTTTGCATCCAGCTTATTAAGGCATACTCGAAAGTATGCACTGTGAGATTCAGATTTAGATTGGGGTGGCAGCAAAGAGGGAAAATGGTAGACCATGTTGAATCGATCTCCATGTTCAGTGTTTCTCAATGTCTGACCATTTGGACCAACACAGTCTGTACATTTGCAGTCTTCAGGAGGTAGGTCTACACATCCTTCACATTGACAAAGGCGAGCCTTCATCAGCCACTGAAGTGATTCCTCCTCCACACCTGACAAGATTGCATTTGACAATTTCAGAAAAAGCATCAAGGAACAAGAAGCATATTGCCAAAGCTTACCTATTACATCAGGGAGCTGGGATTTCCACGTATTGCGTAAGTAGAGATGAAAATAGGTAATTTCAGAATTGGGTTTCCAAAGGGTCCACTCTGGAGGTGGCGTCCAATACAAATCATCATTAGGATTCCAAGGAGGTGCATTACGCCACCGAGTGAAGGTGATACATATTGATGCACCCAATGTACAGATGAATGGGAAGAAAACAGTTGTCTGATAATATGTCAGCGATTCCGCTGGTCCAAGTATAGCCCGACAAGCCTCTCTTGTTTGTGGTATGAAAAATGGATTGTGCACTACAAGGACACAGAAACAATATGTAGTTGTCCCTGGATGCATAAAGATTTCAATGTCTTACAAGAATATCTAGCAGGTACTATCATGTGAATTTGTATAGATCATAATATTGTACAGCAAATGAGAATAAGAGCAATGAACATGACAACTGATATGTCCATCTCAATTTTTTTCTGGAAATGTCCTACTTTTTGCCAAACTGGTGTCATCCAAGGGCCTGTATTTTCAACACTTTTCACCTTAATAGCTGATGATTTACACTCAAACATGGATAACTGTACAATACTGAAGCATGCAGATGACACAGCTGTCATGGCAAAGACCTCAAGCACTCAGAACATGGATAATTATCAAAACCTAGTCAACCACATCTTTGCCTGGTCATAGAAGCACAGCCTTATTCTGAAAAACCCTGTTCTTCAGGAGATATGTGAAATGAGGATCAGCATAGGTGGAACTCCCCTCACCCCCTGTGAGTCCACTAAGTATCTGTGTGTAGTCATAGACCATCAGTTGAACTTCAGTCTACATATTGACCACTTGTTCAAAAAAATGTTACAACCAATCTTTCCATTTTTCATTATGACTGTTAAGAATGTGTTGCAATTCAAATGCAGTTGAGAACTTTTTGTCCTATCGCATTATTCCATGTCTTCTCTACTGTACTCCCAACTTTTTTGACACAAGCAAGAAAAGAAGACAAAACTTATATCCATTGCATACTGTGACAGCTGGCAAGCACCATATACAGGGTGTCCCAGAATTAATTGCCAAAAGTAAACACGTGCCATTCAAACATCGCTCAATGAAACTCCACAAAAATTGGTATACATATAGATCTTGACCTAGAATTTTAATGTGGAAAGTTTAGGAGGTTTCTCAGGTGAAGGTGAATTGCTTTTGTTAGCAGTTTCTTGAAAATGTATGTTTTTCGAGGTCGTACTTTTTGAACCTGAAGGTAAAGCCCGCACACCATTCAAGCATTATTTGATAGAACTCCACAAAAATTTGCATGTGTACGGGGAATATAATCAACTTTTACTTGCCAAATAATCAAATCATTATATCAATTCTGCATTGATTAAGAGTTCTCAATGTGCTCACTACCATTTTCAATGACGAGATTCAGCCTCTCCCTGAAACAAAGCATGCTTCTTCTTTCGAAAAAATTGGGAGGTAGGGATGCACAGGCTGTTTCAATGGTCTTCTGGAGTGAGTTCAGATCCTTTAAGCGACTTGGTGTACACCAGCTGCTTCAAATGCCCCCACAAGGCGAAGTTACAGGGGGTCAGGTCTGGGCTTCTCGGGGGCCAGGAGATCGAACTCTTAATCAATGCAGAATTGATGTAATGATTTGGTTATTTGGCAAGTAAAAGTTGATGATATTCCCCGTATACATGCAAATTTTTGCGGAGTTCCGTCAAACGATGCTTGAATGCCACGTGGACTTTACCTTCAGGTTCAAAATTATACATTTTCAAGAAACTGCTAACAAAAACAATTCACCTTCACCTGAGAAACCTCCTAAACTTTCCGCATTAAAATTCTAGGTCAAGATCTATATGTATACCAATTTTTGTGCAGTTTCATTGAGCGATGTTTGAATGGCATGTGATTACTCCCCTATTGAAATCCCATTGAAGCATTTGCAAAACTGGTTTAATTTACCTTCAAACAGGAAGCCTGCAAATGCATGCTTAGGATCATCAAACTCTGGGTTACTGGATGCATTCAGTTACAGTCTGATGTTCACTGACTTGAGACTCAAGCTCCATGATTCATCAACTTCTGGAGTATGCCTACCACAATGCAGAAGTGTTGCCTCAGTAATGGAACATTCCTGCTATCATTAAACAAGGCTTCAATGAATGAATGTAAGGAAAGGAGGCCATTTTTTCCTCTCACCCCCCATACATATTATAATTGAAACATTGCAATATTGCAGGTGGGCAATAAGGTTTTGTTGGGAAGAAAATTGCCTGCAGTCCTATTTGGCATTCAAAGATTTTTCTTTAGCCTTTATATTCTTTCATGAGACACTGAAGATCAATATCTTAAAATCTGCCATGCCACATCTGTAGCAATAAAGAGCTGCAAAGGAAGATGCATGACTGCTAATAGGAGGCAGCCTCTTCAGATAGTGTATTCAATACTTTGAGCTAGAATGCTCTGATAGGTGCCACTATGTGGTCACCAGTGCATATCACAAACAATACACAGAAAGCCATAATGCAGCCAAATGTCATAGAACTTTCTGAATGCCCCTTGCAGAGTTGGGTGCATTACTTGTGAAAAGTAACTAGTTGCAATTACAAGTATTCCATCCAAAAAGTAATTAGTTACCAGAAGAATTACTTCTCACCAAAAGTAACTAGTTACAAGTAGAAGTTACTTTTCTTGAAAAAAATTATAATCTTTCTACAGTTTCTCTATCTCTTTGACAGAAGCTGGATGCATGCACTGAAAGCAAAAGTTACCCTTGATTTCACGAAAATTGAATTGTTATCATCACTGAACTGGAACTCATGCTCACTCTTTTCCCTGTGCCTCTTTCCTTCCCATGGGCTACTTAACAGGAATCAGGAATCATTCAGATGTAACATTAGACCAAAGGTTGTCTGTACGAAGTCAGGACATGATGGAGCCAATCTAGACTGCTTTCTCAAGTTAGATGCTGAAGTTTGTACAACAGAAAGTACCTTGGCCATCACTAAACATGAGAACACTTCACACATTAGTTTGCATTGATGCAGTGGTGTATTTTCTCTGAAGGGTCAGGGGGGGGGGGGGCAGGGCAACAGAGCCAAACCCCACCCAAGAAATATCAGGAAGGAAAAGTATTACTTCTAAGGGGATGCCAGTTTATGTCCCAGGGGTGGCAGCTGCCCCCACTGCCCCCTCTTGTAAAATACTCCACTGCATTGATGGAACTCTCAACTTCGTTCCTAACCTCCTACACTTAAAAATATTTTTGCGGGTACGGCCAAGAATGAAAACTACAATGAAAACCATGGTTTCTCAAGGCAATTTCATGTCCCTGCCTTTCCTCCCAATTTTGCATCAATTAGGATGCATGTAGTCATGAAGCACTGGTTGTTTTCGACAAAATTAGTCAATCATCAAGGAAAGGAACACATTACAGTAATGCCACATACGTTTCCCATGAAAAAGTAACTAGTTACCAGTTCTGTCACCTTCCCCTGAAAAGTAACTCGTTACCAAAAAAGTTACTGAAAAAAGTCATTTGTTACTGTAACGTGTTACTTTTACTTCATTACTGCCAAACTGTCCCTTGTATGTACAGGAGAGCCATTGCAAAGGCATGCTTTGACATGGAAACAGCTCTCATTTGATATTTGTCCTAAAGAACTGCCATCATGATGCTACTGTTATCTCAAACAGCAGCAGTCAGTCCATGTTCCTTATTTTCTCTTTAAAATTTAATATTTAAATACAATAACATTGCCACATAAAATGTATATCTTTTCCTAGTCAGACAATCTTATGCAAATCATTCTGATCAGGACTTATTGAGAGGTGAAGAACAGTATACCTTTAGAGCCTTCCTTATAAACATTCATGAGGAGTGATCGATTCTGGGTTAGTGTGGCCAGGTGCTCAAGGAAAGTCTTGGGTTGTTTGCTCTTTTCTTCCATGATGTGTCGATACAATTGGATATATCCCCTCTCAAACATATATTGGATCTGCTTCTCTGTTTTCTGAAAATGAACAGGTCTTTGCCATTCTCTTCACATAGACACAGGATGAAAGAGGAAAAAATAAACATTTTGTTGCTCACTCGTGCTCTCTCACTTTCTGGGTCATCCTTGAAGAGGAGACTGAGGACATATGAACGATGAGCCAACATCAGACGAACCCAGAATTTCTGCCCCTGTATGGAAAGGCATGATTAATCAATGAACATACATTACATAAGAATCACATTATAGATATCATCATGTTTGCTACTGGATGGGTGGGTACTCACCTGATCCTTCCACATCTGTAGAAATGCATCTTTATGGTTGACAAAGAACTCAAAGTCATTTGGTGCAAATGCATCATTGAAGAGGGTGGCATCCTGCCAGTTTAAGATCACCTTTCTCATATCCTTTCTCTTGTTTATAATGTCTATTCACCAAGCATCACTGGCTTATATCTCCTTGACTGCATTCACCTGATGGAGGAGACAAATAACCACAACCTCTGCCTTCCTTTTTAGAGCTGGCAAACAGGATTGAATACGTTCTGTGCAAGATGGACTAGATGGTGAACTTTATATTGTTCACATCATGCACAATGTGCATGGTCAGTCACTAAGAAAGACTTCTAGGATAGTCTCAAAAACCCTCCGTACATACAAGGAAAAGTTTCAGGCAATGAGAAAAGGCAGACCAAGGTTCACAGGACCAATGAATAACAACAGCACTTCTATTCCTATACAGGGACTAAGTTCAGGGGAGAGACTAAGATTGATTAAGTTCTGGATACAGGAACACAAGTACTCTGCAGAACTGAAACATAGTTGCTTGGATTTTATGTGCATTACTGATATGACTCTCTGATGAATGGGAAAAAGGGAATAACTAAAAAGAACTCAGAAAAGAAGAAAAGGTATATTATCAGAGATAATATACCTTTTAGTTATGAGAATTTGAATTAGCTGAATCTCTTGTTTCCTCATGCAAAAAACTCACATGATGGCAAGAAGTAACTTGATAACTTGTACATGCCATTCATTTAAGAAGATTCTGTCAGTGGAAGAAAAATGGGCATAAAATCCCCAGATCCAGCATCACATTCCTTTTGACATTGGCAGACCTTTGTCCCTCTTCTATGCCCACTGTGTCATGATTATTAAAATGACCAACTCCCAACTTTAGTATCTAGGGAGCAAGATGGATGAGAATGAAAATAGTATTTATTTATATAGCAAGCATTCTCCGACTCAAAGATAGTTTAGAAAAAGCCTCTCCCCAGCAACATCTGAAATTTAAGTTACTAAGTTAGAACTAATTCCATTAAAAGTATTGTCAAATACAGCATACATTGATGTGTCAAACATATTCATCTTGGTTTTAGTTGCTGAGAGATGTCCAGATTTTTTGAGTGAGTTCCACAAATTTTTTCAGTCAAAGTTCTGTTGTAGTTGTGGTATATACCATTGTTCTACTGTGGAAGTTCATCTCACAACAAAACAGGGGAGATTTTCATCTTGGAAGAAGGAATTTGGCAGCTGCAGTGACTGTTGTTCTTGCCTAATAGTTCAGCAATGTCAGTATAGGTGATGTTTCCAAAGGTAACTTGCAAATGCAAGGTGGCAAGATGCTTGACATGTTTCAAGTGCAGCATATATGGATGTTCAACAAAAACAAAAACAAAAATGTAATTTGATGATAGGATGGAATGAATGAGGTTTTTGGGCTACCACAGTTGGCATATGAGCAACCATTATCAGCTAATGTAGGGGATGTGACCAATAATTATTTGACAATTGTGTGGGTTCTGACCAGTGGCCATTACCCAAACCATCCCAGTTTTGGGATCTCACCATACAGCACCTAGGTCTCACTAAAAAAAAAAAAAAAAAAAAAAAAACAACCAGCAGAAATAAGCATTTTAGACAAAGCCCTACCCATCCCTCACTCTTACTGCAACAACACATATTTCTTGATGTGACTAGAACCCTACCCATCTAGAAAATCTGTCATTTTTTCTTTGATTTGAATCAGAGAATGCTAGTTAAAAATATGAGACAAGTACATAGGCACCACAATTGATTGCATAGTCCCCTCAGGCAAGGATGCCACTCCATGGTCCTGTAGGTCTAAGACTGTAAGAGTGGTTCACAGGTTGCCTAAGGTCATGACTGGAAGTGATGCTTAAGGATACTGCACCCCTATCTCCTAGGCATGGCACACAGAATAATGTGCACTTTACCCTGACACTGAGCAGATAGTCCTTGGAAAGCAGGAGGGGTTGCCTGTCAGTGTAAAAAGAGCCTGTTTCCACCTGGATTCAATCTCCTGCCTTCTAGGTTTGGCTTGGAAGCCTGAACCACCTGGCCACCAAACAAAGTCGTGAGTGAAGACTTAGAGAAACAAGAGTTTTGGAAAATGCAAATGCTTCTTGTACCAAAATGTATATTGTACGTCACCAAAACTACTCACTTTCTCGAAAAGATATAAAAGTACATGAGGCAAATAGACCTTATGATGCTCATAGGAATTGAGTCAGGCTATACAGTGTTTCTTAATGCATAGAGACTATGATTTCACTTGCAAAAAAATTGACCTCATGCTGGGTTTTGGAAGAAGTCAGTGGGAAATGATGTTCTTGGAGGGCCAAAAGCAGGCATAGTTGATATCTGGCATAATCAGATGGCCAAATGCAAAGAGGCAGCAAATTTACAAACCTCATGGAATTCAATTACTTTTGGGCTATCATATGGCATCATAAACATAGAATACCTAAATTAAAAAATGTCCTCCTCTCCCTTACAACATCAACTTTGTCTAAACGAGTGATAAAAGTTAAGTGAAAATCACTGAGTCATCTTTCTTCTGGACTTAATCAAAGTGCAGTTGGAACTTTCATGGGCTCCACTGGGTAGAGGCATCTTGAAATAATGCATATGCTAATTATCAATGACATTGCTCCACTGATTTTTCAATCAATTCATTCTTAATGTTACATGTACTCCCTTTCAGTTCTCCTGCAAAAGAATAAAGCCTTACATTCTGTGGTTTTCAGTGCATCATCACATCCCACATATCCCCTCAAACAATGTCTCATCTGCATAGAACACAAGGGAATTTATTCAATAGAAAGACCATAATTCCAATTGCACTGGCATGAAGGATGCTTATGTGACAAATCAAAGAACAGAAATTATATCATGTCTTCAACAGGAACTTAAGTTCAACTGATATCACAAGCAGTCTCATCTTTGGAGCACATTTATAGAGATCAAGTACAGAAGAAAGATCAAAGAATACTTGTAAATAAGGCCAATCAGAAACTCAAAAGTCCCAAACCCAAAACTACATACAGAAAAAAGAAATACTCTGTACACTTCACTACATGGGTTTCATGCACATCATGCATGTGCTGCATGTATTGTTTCTGATGCAGTTACAGAATGCAATAGGGGACCGAGGAAAAAAAATATTTTTTAGCCTTTAGGGAGAATTATTTTCCATCAAGAGAATTATGGAAACAGCAATCTCAACATTCCTAAGGATCTTTAAACAAAAAAAAAGAGACAGCTGAGTCATGCAAGGTTATGCACAGACTGCAAAGAGAAAAGGCATGGCTGCAGAAAACAGGCCCGATAATTCACCTTTTTAACTGCTACAGGATTTTAAATTCCTTTAGCTGGTAAAATCAATACTGGGTTATTAGCTCTGGGCTGATACATAGCCAAATTCCATGGCCAAATTATTCATATCTACATTTACTGAATTATGTACCACTATCATAATACTGACAAGTATTCCATGGATATTGTAACTCAATTCTGGCTTTGTAAGCAAATACAGAGAATGGCTGGCTTCCAGATATTTTGAGAGTCCCTACACAGGAGCCTTTAACCTTACCTATCTAATGACTGCTTGCCTTAACTTATAATATCAAGGGATGAATGAGATAAACAAACTTGCCTAATTTCTAAGTTCAGAATGCAGCCCAGAGACCAATGGAGAGGAAAGCAAGACTAACAAAACAGGGAATTATAGCCATTTCTGAAAATGATGGCTTAACAGCCAAAGAAGACCTCAGAGGAAGACAAGCAGTACCCTAGTGTCATCTTCATCACATCATAAAGTTATGTATCACATGTATCTCCAAAAGGTGCATTTGGCAGTTTCTCTCATATTTGAGCAGTTTTGCTTGAAGTGAGCATTAGCAGACAGGATGCAACAGAGCAAGTATTATTTTAATTATGCTATGGATTGCTGGCAATGATGGCATCAGGATCTGAACTGCACCTACAATCAGCAGCCTCATGCAAAGAAGATTGACCTGTTACTGAAGCACCACTCATATCACATTAAGAATCTTCTGCTCCAAGAAAATCGGAAGCATGAAAATCCTGACTCGTATTGGTGCCACTTGCCTACATGCAATGGGAGCATTAGAACCAAATGAATCACAGTCATTATATAGCTTGGTCTTCACTGTATTTCCTGTATGTACATCCAATTCTCTTGCTGGATTCTGATTTGATGCTTACAGCAAGTTCATCCTCTTCTAGTTTGTACTAGCAGCTAGTTTGCCCTGTGCTATAGACATTTCAGGACTTGAATCAGGACCAGATAATTTCTTTTCATGTGGAAGAGTCTCCAATTTGCAAATATCTTCCATCATTTTGCCAGCATCTACTTGGATCATCAATGCAGGATCATCCTTTTCTACAGGCATATGAAAAGAGGGAACTGCAGGAGTGAAAGACGTCTTCGCTTCATGAGATTCAGGATCCAACTGCAAGGGAGTAGTTGCAGTAGAAAGATTTTCAGATGTGCCTTCAGAATCTCCAATGGTCAAAGCTTTTACAACATGCAGAGATGCATTTGACTCAACAGATTCCTGAGAATTCACTGCAAGTGAACTAGTTGCAACAGCACTCTGTTTGGCTGTCACTGAAGAGTTTTCATTTGTGAATTTTTTCAACATGCCATTGGAGTGCTCAGCATAGGTGCACAAAACATTTGAAGTACGCTGAAGTTGGGAGATCACTCCTTTGAGTCCTCCAATATTGATATTGTATTGTCGAGGGCGCAGCCAATACATGCCCAGCTGTCCTAGAGCCTGAAAAGCAAACAATGTTTCATAGTTGTTGCAAAGGAAGAGGTTTTGCATAAATATTATGAAATAATGCAACTTGAAATTTTGTAATAGTATTTCTCTATCCAATATAATATAGTTTAACTACTTCAGGGAAATTGCATGGAGATTGCTGCATCCTTTAATGCTTCTTAAGTTCTCAGGCCAATTGTTCCAATACAGTTAAAGCAATGGCATCAATTGAATGGCTTTAACATCAAAGGTGGGCACCCATTTTGAAATTCATATCACATTTTCCCTTTTATTTATTCCATTTTTTGAGTATTTCCTTCATTTGTTCAATCATGCATGGTTTTAATTTAATTTATTTTCTCCTTTTCTGCTTGCTGTTTCATAGCTAATAAAGGCCTTGCTTTTCTCTCTTGAAACCAGACCTACTTAGTCCTGTACTAATCTGATTTCAAAATGGATGTTTCTACAAGAATGAGATTAACTAAGAACCAGTTTCCTGAGAGATCCTCTACATAACCAGAGTATCATATACTTAATAAGTTTGGTGCATGACTAACAAGAGGAAAGAAGGAAATCAGTCAATTATCTTTTCCTCCTCCTCTTTGCCATTTTCATACTTCAAGTAGGTACAAAAAGTCTTAAGAACAAAATTTTTTTTCCTGAAATTCAAAAGGGAAACCCAGTTTACATAAGAAGGACCACTACCATGCTCTACTGCACAAACTCCTGCAGTTGTGATGGTAAACTGTCTCTCTCCACATAATAAACAATTAGCCAATTTGGAAGTGCCTACTTGTTTATTGCCCTTTTATATGCTGATGACCAAAGAATTGCTGCTGGAATTCCACAATCCCTCCTCAATTCCTCAATCAATGGGGGGAAGGGGATACAGGAAATTGATTGTGTGTAAAGACATGGTGAGAAAGGGTGACTATTGCAGGGGGGAAAAAAGTTATTTTGTGTTCAGATAGCTATTTTTGCAGATGTGCAGTCAAAAGAAAAAGGACAGAAAAGAAGGATAGGTAATTGACTTCTCTTCCTGTTCCTTGGACATATATTCCTCAAGGAGGAATGCCCTCATTCTGCTTATACCAGACTGAAAGAAAGTTTCTCTTCCAGTCTAATGAACCAGAATCAAATTGGAAAAGTGTATATGCAGAACAGACTGAAGATTTACTGCTATTTTTCTACCTTTAGGTAATCTAAAGGAGGTGAAAGAGAAAGTTAGATCAAGTTGGAAGAGATCCTTGAAGAAATACACTGTGTGTTTCACACATTGGAGGAGCCTGAGCCTTAGGAAACTTGTTAGTCCCCAGATACTGAGCATTTCTGACTGTTTTCAGACTACTGCTGAGGGCAATTCAAGAAAGGTAGAAACAAGATTATTCATTATTTTAAAACTTGTTCTTTCAGCTTTATAATGATACATGATACATGTTTTATGAAAAAAAGCAATTTAATTGCACTGAAAAATGAATTTTTGAATGCACCTATGTTTCAGGTTCTTGAAAATACAGGGTGGTCCAAAAGTCTCCATACGTAGGGAAAATTAACACTTTTTAACAAAATGTAACTTTATTCACAAAATATGCTCTACATGGTGGCCATTACTTTGAAAACACATACGGATGCGACTCTCCCATTCATGGTGAACTCGCGTTAATACATCTGGTGTTATGCATTATGTTAAAGTTACACTTTTTAAAAAGTGTTAATTTTCCCTATGTATGGAGACTTTTGGACCACCCTGTAGTTCAGTGAGATACTATTAAAATATAATTGACTTATTTTCAAAGATTCAACCACTTGTATACAAAAAATACATTAAAAAACAGCCAAAGACAACATGAGGTCATAAATATCATCTGAATCATGATCAACATGATATTTCTTTGAAGTTATCTTGCCATTGCAGTGGAAAATATGTGAAGTTAGATGCACAGTCAGCTGCTGTTTCAATTGATTATATTACAATTTGTATGAGTTGTGCTGCTCCTTGCTAGCAATTTGTGAATCTCAAGACACAAATCTTCATGTTCTAGCAGACAGCACATGTATATCTTACACAGAAGGAGAGAAATAGAAGCACAAAAATCAAGAACGTATGGGACACTAGCACTGTCTACTTGGAAAAGCCTGCATCACGTACAGGCTCAAATGTATCAAGCACCTTACAATCTAGCATAAAGGCATTGCTCTTGATGCATGATTTGCCTTGGTATAATGATGATGTCTTGGTATAAATGCACAAACATTACTATACTGCTATGTGCACAGATATGGCAGGATTCATGAATAATTGTAAAATTCAATTATGTAGTTCATGACAAGTGTCCATGGTACCAATGACTGATGGCTTATAATCAGAATTAAGCAGCCACATGATGATAATCAACATCAGTAGTTCACCCTATTTCACATGACCATCATGAAAAGATAACTAACCTTTGACAGGGAAGTAACATCTAGTGTGAGGATGATGGCACGTCCCCAACGGGGACGCACACAACGAGCCATCTCCAGGAGGACATGGAAGTAGAGTTCTCGATTGTCACGTCTGGTTCCCATTCGTTTCCCAAAAGGCTGCAAGTAATACATAAGGTCTTATTCAGGAGATGGAAGGAATGGCATAGACCTAGCAATACACCACAGAACAAGTGGTTTAACAATTTAACAAGCATTCTCTGACTATCAAAGGTAGAGTGCTAAAACAGCTTCTCCCCAACAACATCAAGAATTTAAGTTACTAAGTTGGAACCAATTTCATTAAAAGTATAATCAAATATGGAATAAATCAGTGTCAAACATATACAACCAAATAATAAGAGAGAATAAAAAAGAGACATCCAGTTATTTTGAGTGAGTTCCACTGATTCTTTTGGTGAAAAGTTGTGTTGTGTTCATGGGTATTTGCTCTAGTTCTACTGTGAAAGATTTTCTTGACAACAAAATGGGAGATCTTCATCTTGGAAGAAGGAATTTGGCAATTGCAGTGACTATTGTTCCTGTGACTGTTGTCCCAAAGGTAACATGCAAGTGCAAGGTGGCAAGATGCTTGACAGGTTTCAAGCACAGGAGATGTGGATGTCATCATGATCGGATTCCAGTGGCAGGGAAGTGTAATTGTTGGAGGGGTCAAAGGAGGGTTGCATCTTGTGATGCATCCCTCAGTTGCATCACAAATAGGCAGAAAGCCAGCATCCAAAATGAGAATCATCTACATATCAACCAGGTATGTATAGAGAAGAGTCAGACAGACTGTATGGTATGTATGCAATTGGTGTTGGGAGGAATACTTTCTTGGCTGCTAACATGAAGAAGATGAGGGTCATATAAACTACATAGAAACATGCTGACATTCTATTAGTATCCAGCCAGAAAGATCATATCAATTCAGTTTATGACAGTACCCCTTCAATTGAAGTCTGTTCAGATACTGTGACCTAGAAAGACATCAGGGATGATAATCATTGCCTTGGCAGGGTATTTAGCCTTTATGATAGCATCTTGTGCAAGGTTGCCAAAGTTGTCTGTGGTCCAGTGGCAGTGAATGAATCCATAAAAACTTGGATAAAGCATCATTCTTTCATTATTTTCAGCACCACTTTTCCTTTCGGGGTCATGGGGGCAGCTTAGTCACTACTTCTTTCCATTTTTCCTGATTCTCCACCTAGCTAGTGTCAAGTGTTACATGTGAACAGCATGGGAAAAGGCCACAATTTGACAGATTTTGAACAAGGCAATATTGGGTAGGAGGTCACATTTCAATGTCTGCTGAGTGTATATTGCTTTCCTCCCCATCACTATAGTTTTCCCAGAATTGGGGAGGGGGGTACATCTTTCCGAGACACCTTGTACATGCCATCACAGAAAGATTCCTATTATTCCTATAGTCACTTGAAATTCAGCTTCATGAATATGCTATCAGAGCAGCGAATAGAGCAATGGGAATGAAACTTGATCCAGTCTTATGGCAATGGGTTTTATTTTCATCCATTCCTCCTTCCTTCCCATAGAAAATAGGCATAGGTACAGTGTCATTACAAAAGGAGCCATGTTAATTTCAATGAGGAAATATGAGGGGGCTGGATTCCAACCTTCACTCTCTGTGGTTCATGGTGGCACAAGATAAAATGGATTTGATATAATGTATGTGTGTCTCATGATGAGTGATGGAATTATCAGTGGCTCAATCTTTTACTCATTTCTCTGAATCCACTTGATGCTGTTGAATATTAGGTTGTTGCAAAATAAATGGCCGATGTGAAACGGCAACTTCCAGACTTTGTATCTAAGCTCAAAATAGGATCCATTAGAATCAATACATTTCTGCCAACAAATTGCAAGATTCAATTCAATTCAAAAGAATTCTGAACTCCTGGAATCTAAAAACTGCTTGAAGTTGTTTTCAACCACAGTCAGGTTGGAAAAAGTTTTCTCCTGAAGAAAGTTGTCCAGATGCTTAAAGAAATGGTAGTCGGTAGGCAATAGGTCAGGTGAAGAAGGTGGATGAGGCAGAACTCCGTAGCCCAACTGGTTCAGTTTTTGCAGTGATCTGAGAAGTGCGTGGTCGAGGGTTGTTGTGAAGCAGTAGTGGTCCCTTTCAGTTTACCAATGCTGGCTGTTTTTCGGACAGTTTTTGGTGAGCAACGTCAAATTTGCGACAATACTTCTCTGCCATGATGGTTTTACCAGTTTTCAGGAAGTTGTAGTGGATCACACCAGCTGCAGACCATCAAACAGTGACCATTACCTTCTTAGGGTGGAGACATGGCTTAGGCATGTGTTTAGGTGCTTCATTGTGGTCAAGCCACAGTGCAGATTGTTGGTGGTTGTCATAAAGGATCCATTTTTCAAGACATGTTATAATTCAGTCCAAATGTCTACACTAGGCTCTTTTGCAAGTTTTTGCACTGTTTGTTGTGTATTTGCTTCAACTAGAGCCTTCAGATGATCGTCATCCATGCTGGATGGATGCACTTGACCCACTTCATCTTCAAGGCTCATATCTCCAGAACGAAATTTCTGGAACCAGTGTTGTGCTATACGTTCATTAGTAGTGTTCTTGCCCCATGCTTCATTAATATTGCAAGTTGCCTCCATTGCATTGTGACTGAGTTCGAACTCATGCAGTAAAATCACATGAAGTTCCTTCTTATTCATGCTTCAAACTGAAGGCTAAAACGGACACCTAGTTAAGGTTTTAAAAAAATAAACAGTACACAAAATAAAGCAGAGTCTGTGCTATAAAATGATATATAAATTGAGGTTATACAGAACTCTAGTGATTTCAGAAATAAACCACAAAATAACCCAAACAATAATCGGCCATTTATTTTGCAACAACCTAATATTTTTGGCTTGTCCATATCAAATGGGGATCACTTTCAATGTCAGTATTGACCTATAACAATGTTACCAATATTTAATAGGATTGTTCTTGATATTTTGACTATCAGCAAGTATGACAACGGCATATTCATGTGCAAATGCCATAAAGAAAGAAAATAGCTCACCAAGTCGGTGATGAAGACATCAACAAGAGAGTCTCGAAGGGGTAAATGTGTTGCATCCCAACAATGCATGTCCATTTTCAACCCTTTCTCATTCCTGAGGGCAGCCATATTATGAAGGGTCCTTGTATATGCCTTCTCATGATTGTCACCAGCAATATACCAGGCATGTGGGAATCCCTGAGTACCCTAGAGAGGAACCAACAGATTCATGCTCTTTCATAAACCAAAAGCAATTAGAGCAAAGAGGATTGAGCAAAGGCATGCAGCACCTCACATAGGCTTTGAAATTTCCATATCTTGGAGATGCTAACGAACTGCTAAGGCTGTTTGACTTATGAATTACTACAGGATGTACATGGTGAATTTTTTTCATGGGACTATTAAAAATATTTATCACCTTGGAACATGAGTTAGATGCATGAAAATTTGCATCCAGAATCCATAAACATGGGAAAGTTATACTCTTATGAAAAAACATGTTCAATGTGTCCTTCTCTGTGTGCAATCACAAGTCATAGACATGAGGTGTAATTCTGCACTACACCCTGCAGATTATCCCCAGAAATGGAGTAGACTTCACATTCTGTGGCTACCTTCAGGTCTCCCAACATGCAAGGATTTGACTTGAAGACTTTGTCCTTTAGGTATTCCCAGAGGAAACAGTCATATGGATTAAGATCAAGGGGTAATGGTGGCCTTACCAATGCAGTGAACATTGTGCTAGATTTCCTACACAAGAACTTCAGCACCAGAATGCTGTCTAGCAGAATCCCTGATATCCACAACAGTAGGTTGTTATGGCCACCATTTCCCCCCAATCTCAATCCATGTGATTATTTCCTCTAAGGATATTTAGAGGAAAAAGTCGTTAAGTTAAATCCATGCATGTTGGGGACCTGAAGGCAGTCACGGGACATAAAGTCTATGCTATTTCCTGGGATTAACTGCAGGCCATAGGGCCATAGGAACAAATCATAAAGAGTTTACTTTTTCTAAGTCTAAGGAAGTTAATAATGACAATCAGAAACCCTACAAGAAAAAGTCCAGTGAAGAAATCTTTGAAAAAAAAAGTCTCCAAACATCACAAGAAAAAGTCAAATGGCATGATATCTGCAGACTTCTTTTAAGATTTTTTCACTTGACTTTTTCTTGTGGGGTTTCATCGAGGACGAGGTCTGCCAGCCACCACTGACATTAAACATGGCATTAATTTAATTTTGGCACAAAGAACTGGATTAGGCACTCAAGTGTGCTTTTCAGCTGGATTGTAAAACAAAAATGAAACAGCTATGAAATCACAAGCAATTCATGCTGAGGGATTCTCTCTAAGGATGGGAGAAAGATGTCATGAAATCATGAGTAACATTTTGAAGAATGTCTTTCACTTTTGACTGAAATGGGGGGATTTTACACTTTTCCCATGGTCCTTTAGGTTCTCATTGCTAGGAAACCTAAAATCAATCCATCTTTCCCCCATAAGAACACTCTATAACAGTTCTCCAGAAAAACAAAAATATTTGCCATTCCACAGCAGAAAATACTGTAAGTGAAACTCCTCATTTTCATTCTCAGTTTCAACAACATGCCTACATTAGAATTATGAATTAAGAAAAAAATGTTCCCATCAATGAACTTTTGATTCAACTGGTGATCTTGAGATACTACACACAGTATTCCACATTCTGTTTCATGTCATAGAGGATAACGATCTGATTGTATGCAAAATGTAATGGGATTCTGATATGATCAAACATAGACCATTGACTCATTTGTGGCATAATAATGTAAATCATGTAGGAGGGCATTGTAGGGCTAAGACAAGGGTACTGACAAAAACTTAATCCTCATTCCAACACCTCTTAGCTCTTCAATGTCAATTGCTTATTTCTAACTTATATCTGGTCACACATGTGACCCATTGAAAATGACTGAGCATTTCCTTTGAATTACCCTATGTTTAAGGGGGTTGGATAGTCCTAATCACTCAAAAGAAGCACCCAAGAGTTCATTAATGAAACATGGAACAGGAACTCATAATGGTGCATGGGGAAAATCAAATTATATATCAAGGCTATAGAATGAGGTTATTCAAGAAAAATGGGCTAAATATCTGGAGAATGGGGGGGAGGGGTCTTCACATCACTTTGGCATGAATGTATTGATAGAAGAGGATGGAATCTGCTTATGGATGTCCATGAACCACTTCACCAGCAAAACACAGTGGTTACATTCACACATCTGATGAATCATATGATCTGCATCCACTGTCTCAACTAACTGACTTAGATCAAATGAGTGATCAAGTTAGTGAAATAGCCCTTTGAGATATTGTTCAGCATTCCATCAAAGCCAAAACAATCAACAACAGCCCAGGAATAGAATGCTTTGAGGAATGGTGAAAAGGAAAATGGCTTTATCAATGAAGTTGTCCTCTTAATGCCTTCTGCATTGTGCAAGTTCTTCATGTACAGTCTCAATGCACAATCTTGAAGTTTTACTTGAATTTCCCACACACCACCCCCAGGAGTGTTCCTTTTTGGGTATTAGTTGGACCCCTGCCCTTCTTATCCCCTCCCCCCCTCAATACATTAGCATGTTTGAGTTTCTCTGCGAAAAATATCCAATGCTCTTGAAACTCTTAATAGATCTATGGCACACAGGTATGAGGTCATGTAGGGGAAGGTGGGACAAAACAGGGTGGATCAGGAAAATTGCCAAAATTTAGTACCAAGGAATTGGCATAGCATGTTGTGGATTGGTATGCTGTACCTTTCATGTCTTATATACAACTAATATTCAAATTCATCACAAAATCAGTACTGGTTTTTTCTCCGACAATTCCAAAAATTTATTATCATATACCCCATTTTGCCCCACTCATGGGGCAAGACAGGGTACTCCTCCAAATATTGTTTTACAATGATTTAATTCATAATATATACCTATTTAAATAGGTCACAGAACAGAAACATTGATGAAATACCTACAAATAGCAAACTAATGATTTTCTACATGTTTTCCTGTGTCTTCATTTTATGCCTATTTACAAAGTTCACAGGACAGAGACTGCATCGAAACATCCACAAATTAAAAGCAGATGCTTTCTCTCATTTCCCCAGGTCTTCATTCTTACTTACAAAGGTCAAAGAGCAGAAACAACAATGAAACATCTACAAATAAACTGTTTTTTTCTCATGTTTTCCCATATTTTCAGTATATGCCTAGGGCCACCCAGAGGTTTCCAGGTGACCAAGGCAAAACTAAACCGGAGACCCTTTGAGGCTCTTTGGAGGCCCCCCCACCCCCCCCCCCCTCTGGGCAGCCCTGTATATGCCTATTTACTAAGGCCACAGAACAGAACAAAAACGAAACTTTTATGGCAAAACAATTGTTGCTGTTTCAAATTGTTATTCATGTAGATGTAAATTTAAAGAAGTCACAGAAAAAACACATCCTCATCTGTGTCATCATCAATGTCTGTACAGCTGTTATGAGCCAAATTCCAGTGACCCAACCATCACTGGGTTTTGATCAAAAGAAAGAATCTGAACAATAACACATCGTGTCAGCCTGAGCCTCACTGCTGTAATGGATATTCCAGCCAGAGGAGAATGGATATATAGAGCCACTATACCACCCCATTTTGTCCCCTCATTGTGACCCCATTTTGCCCCAGCACCATCTATGATTAAGACATAGACAAACAAAATGTGAGTGAGCTATGCAAAAAATTATGGCTTCATGTAATAGTTCACAATTTCACCTTCAGCAAAAAAAATGTTGCATGCCTCCAATGTTCCCATTGTATTTGTATGTATCCCATTTCCCATCTTTGTTTTGCTCATTAAAAACTCCAAACAAAATAAGAAAAGTCTGTTTTCTTATTTTGCTCCTCAAGTCCTTGCAAACTATTTTACAGAGCACCACTGTGCTTGAATACTTGCACCCATGGTAGGTGGTTATAATAGGGTAAATAGCCAATAGATATTGGGTATGGTTTGGTTAAAACCTGAGTTGCCCTGTTTTGCCCCTCGCCCCATTTTGTTCCACCTTTCCCTACTGAATTTTATCAAAATTGCTCAACTCCTACTTGATGATGCTTTTACCTTGGGTTACAAGTTGAAAAGATTCTCAAATTTTGCAAAAGGTGTGACCTTGCACTGTCTGCCTCAAGCCTACCTCAAGTGGAATAGATCCTCCACCGCACAGTGGATCACAGACAATATCTCCAGGCATCACCATGGCCAAATAGAGCATGTTGAAGCAAATAGTGGCTCGCAGAGTAGTTGGCCCAAACTCCATTATATTTCTCTGATGTAGGCTTCTTGGGCTCAGGCGAATCCCAACATAGACACACTCTGAAAATAAAAAAGTAAAACAGAGAAATGAAAAAAAAATATGTTGAGTAAATAACTAAAAACATATGAAATCTAGGCATATTGGAGTGGCTATCAGCCACAGGCACCAATGCTGAATGCACGATAAGCATAACTTATGAAAGCAATATACTCACTGGTATTAGCTGTAAAACTCTTGAAACAAATGAGGGAGAATGAATTTTTTTTAAGAGACAATGAAGAGCCCTTGGAGGCTGAGAACTTTGCTGTATCCTCCTCAGGGGTACAGTTCTGCTTAACCTAATGTGCAACTACAGGGTGTCCCAGAAACCCCCCCCCCCTCCCAAATTTTGTACATCATTACATCTTTATTTTTTCTCTGATGGAAGTGAGTTTTGTATCATTCGAAAGCCTAGACCTTTCTTAACAACTGCTGTTGAACCTGACAGTTTGTGATTACTGGTTGTAGGGTTTTTTTTTGGAAGAGAAGGTGTATGCTACAAAACCCCTAATATCCTTGACCTCATCAGCACCATTCACTTAGTCCCTGGTCTCTGTCCAAACTGGGGGTGAGGTTTCTGGGATGCAGGGATTAAAAGCAGGGATTCAATCTTTTTGCCTTTGAAATTGGTTCCCATTCTCATCATGACACATATGGCATCACCAGGGACAGTCATTCACTGCTTTCTGGGACATTTCCAAGCTTAAGGCATTCAGTTTGGTGGAAATGGCACTGATGAGGTCAGGGATGTTAGGGGTTTTCTAACATACACCTTCTTATTCAAAAAACCCCACAACCAGGAATCACAAACTTGCCAAGTTTAACGGCAGTTGTTAAGAAAGGTCTAGGCTTTCGAATGATACAAAACTTACCTCCATTATAAAAAAAATTATGACATAATAATGTACAAAACTTGGGGTGGGGTTTCTGGGACACCCTGTAAGTCTTCTTCAGAATTTCTCCTTGAGCAAAAGGTGAGTTTAGAGGAGAGTACTTAGTATTAAAAGTCAATAGACTTCTGCATATATTCAAAGCTTAAGCCATGGCAACAACCACCACAAATGTACATCCCATGACTAAAGAGAGCTCATTCTACCTAGTGATAACCAGTGCAATGTGTTTTGTAGAAGTACAGTAGATATGAGAATGCTCAGAAAAGCAGCAAACAGTCAACTACTATGAAGAGTACACATAACTTTTGGACTTCAAGGGCTGTATTCATGAAACATTGTAAATCCTCATCTCATTCTTACAGATACTGTTCGTATTCACAAAACTTCATAGCTATGATAATGAGCCAGCTAATCAAAACCTATCTCAGGAGCTGGCAAACCCATTGCAGAGTGGAATGCAATGTGCTCATCACGCTGGCAGCATGACTCACAAGTCCCATGTCATAGGAACCTTCTGCAATCTTCCTGTGCATTCTGTATCATTGTTTTGCTCTTACAGGAAGTTTTAATGTTGGAGCTCCTGCCAAATCTTCAAAAACACTCTAAAAGACTGTACCCACATCTTATTGTAAAACAAATTGCCTCAAAGTTTCAGCTATGTCTACGGAAAAGTTCTGGACTCCATATCGACATTGGCATCATGGAGAGTGGAGGAAGGAGTGGTCAACTAATTTTACCAGTGAGGAAATTGGGGTGCTTATTGAAGAAATCGAATGATGTCTTGCTGGGGAAATTCAACTCAAGCATTATAGGAAAATTGAAATTGCAAGCATGACATTTAGTGGCTGAGGCAGTGAGCTGTGTCTCCAATGTGTGGAGAACTGCCAAAGAAGTAATATATAATTCATGAACTCAAAGTCAAGAGTAAAAGCAAAAGGAATTCAGTTTCTTTGGGAGACCGGCAGGACTGGCAGTGGATCACCATCTTCCCCACTGCCTGATCTTTGTCAAAAGATTTTTTCAATAATTGGGAGAAAAAAAAAACCATTGTGGGAGCATTGCTGTCTTCCTTTTCTGACAATGGATGAATGTGAATGACATGACCTCCAAGGTGAAATCTTGCAAATCCTGTGTGCATATATCCTGTTAATGGCACAGTGTGAATGAACCTTAGCTTCATTGAGACATCCAATTAAAGAAAGTTCCACAGATTGCCTCGGTATCATGGGTACTTCTGGGTTCTGGGTACTTCTGATACCTTAGGATCATTCATAGACTTATGAAGAAAGTTATGAACATTTGCACTTTTGTGAACACTGAAATTGTGCATCATTCTTATGAACTGTGTACAAAGTATCATACAAACATCTTACCCAAAAATGTTTTATGGATACCATGCATGAACTTCGTAAGAACTATGTAGCAGCAGAGGTTTGATGGTTACCATTATCAAACTTTTCTTAAAAAGAAAAAAGTTTGAAAGAATGTTTCATGAATAAGGTCCTAGGCCAGGACCAGGTATTGTCATCATAACAGAATTCAACTGAATATTGTAAAAATATGTATATATGTACACATACTTGAGTTCCACAAAAGGGAAGTTGGAAATCAATCCCAAAAGTCTTCTCTTTAGAATCAATGGGCATAAATTAAATTAGAAAGGCTTAAATGGGTATTGGCATTGGTATTGGCCAATATCTGCAGAAGAGTGTTGGGATCAACATCACTCAACTCTTGCAACCAAAATAGTAATAAGAAATTGCACAGACAATTCAGACAGCCTCACCTCCATCAATAGTGAGTACCACTTCCATGTCATAGTGCTTCATGCTAACAGGCCAACCAAATCTGCTCACTATTGCAGCTCCAAACTCAGCTGCTGCTTCAGGAGATTCAAATGGATGCTCAGAACTACCACGAAAGCATGTGACCCTAAAAAATGGATTCTTGGTTTTAGCTGGTCCATCTGTACACAGTTTCTCAGGACAAGTTGAAGCAGTCAATATGTCAATTTTGACACCTTCTCCCCTATCTACTCCACCATCATCAATAATGCTTTCTACAAGCAATTCCACGAGTTCCAAAGCATAATCCTTTCCACCAGCTGCTGATTTTTCATCATACAATTTGTAGTTACCATTATTCATATCAGGTTGAGAGTTTGGATTTGAGGAAGCATTGGTATTCTGAGCACTGTCATGATACAAGGAAAGAATTTTATCACTGGTCTCTGCAGCTTCGTTCATACTTGATTCATGAACTATGGTTTCATTCTTGCATTTTTCATTCAATGGAGATGAATTCACATGGACTTTGGGTTCATAAGATGAGCCCATAACTGGACTAATTTCATCTTCATTCTGCAAGGCATTCCCATGTTCTTCCTTAACCTTTTTTGCTACCCCATTCAAATCAACTTCAATTGATACATTTTCACAGGATTCATCATCTTCATGTTTATCCTCCTCAGAGTTGTGCTTTGGCTCTTCCTCAATAACAGCAACCTCAAGTTGAGTTTCCCCACCAATGTCTGCATTGATAAGGTTAATCCCTCTTGCTTTCTCTCTGTTTTCTTGCTTTGAATCTTGTTGATACCATGCCACATCCACCTCATGGCGTACTCCTCCTTTTACATCAGGCTTCTCAAATTCTCCAAAGCCAGTAACTGACCTCCACACCTGGATTCCTTTCTCCCAGTCCAAATCATCCACAAAGTCACATAATTGCTGCAGGCATTCTACTTTCTTGTTGGAGAATTGAAAGTTCCTCTCCAATCCAATAAGGACATAGACGTTGTCCACACCCCTGAGCTTCAGCACCTACAAGAACATAAAATTTCAAAATGAACAAGTAAGCATCAAATCTACTCTTTAGATGATGAACAATATAAAATACTACAAAATGTCCAAATCCCTTTTGTATAAAATAAAGTAAGAATCATGAGTGATTACAACCTAAAAACCCACAAACAAGATCCTGAAGCATATTACTGCATTTAAACACACAAGACATTCTGAACACACTCTAGGAAGCTGTCCTTATGAAAGATTCCTGCTTGTACTTTGCTTTTCCCTCGTTATATGGTGATGAGGAGAGGCTGAAAGACATACATGATAAGCAGGAAAGAATCAAGAAAGAATCATCTCTCATGCCTTTCTGATATGTGACAATTTATGGCAAATGAAGATTTCATGATAAAAGTTCATTAGTTATCATAGAGCTAACATCCACACAATGAATATTTTCAAATAAGGAGCAAACTGAATATTCGTCTATAGTCAATGTTATTAAGCTGACACTAATATGGCACCATACAGTCTAATTTTCCATTATTTTAACAATAGCTCTTTAGTCAGACCCTGGAATACCAATGAATGACTTGGATATGAAGGGTCTAAAGCAAGGATGATAACATTTTTTGGGTTCTCGACCCCATTTCAACGAGCCCAACAGCTTGTGATCTCATGCATGGGTTCCCTTGGTACATGCAAGACTTCAGTAACCCCCACAACCAAAAGCCTGCTGGCGAATGTGGTTCAGTGAACACGGTGGCCATTCATAAGGGAAATGGGAAATTATGCAATTCCGAAAGTGCTTCCACAACACGCGCTTGACATGGGGGCCAGCCAATGTGAGGAGTAGCGCCATACAGTATAAAGACATACGTCCAGCACACTTCGTTGCTACAGAGTGGGAATGACAAAGATTGTTAGCACATTCACCGAACCTTACACCTGCAGACTTTTGGTTGTGAGGGTATCTGAAGTCTCGCCTGTACCGATGGACCCCACGCACGATTCCAGACAGATTCCATGGTTTTCTCCATGGTTAAGTTCAGATTCCCTTGGGCGAAAAATGGGCTGATTTCATTTTGCATGTCATTCCGTCTCCGAAAAATATAAGAGATGTGCCAAGACTAACGCAGCAACAAAGGGACGGGGCGACAAAAATGCTCCAGGAGGGTGTAACGCAACAGGAAGTCGCACGGCGACACCGATGAGCTCGTATGGCCTGAACTGGATTGAATAATCACTTCATCAAAACTGGCAGAACACTTAACGTCGCAAATCGCTACATTTCTCAAGATCAAGTGTTCCGACAGCTTGTTCCAAGAAGATCCAAAACAATGTAACGCATGTTGCGTAACACCTTCTTGGAGCATTTTCGTCGCCTCGTTCCTTTGTTGCTGCGTTAACATTGTCAATCTCTGATACTTCGGAGACGGTATGACATGCACAGTGGAATCAGGTCATTTTTCGTCCATGGAAATCTGAACGTAACATATGACACGAAGAAAACCTAATTAGGCATACTCCTGACGCAGCACGTGCACAGCGCTCAAAGGTCGTCAAGCACACATGCACCTTGCATAACGTTCAACCGGTGGCGACTTGTTTGGGGAAGGTCAGATATACTGCTATCACAACTCCAACTACGCGAGCGAGCTCTAAATTACCTTGTAACGTTTCTTTCGGACGCTAGTATCTTTTGTTCTTTTATGTCATTGGTGTTGGAATGAGTCCACTCAAGAGAAAACTGAAGACTCAAAGAGTACCGGATGAAGGGCATTACGAAAAATGAATTTTGCATATGAGTATCAATGTTTCCCTAGAGATGAATAAAAGCCAATTATAATCAGGTTATGGCTCCTTGAAATCGGATTCTTGAGGACGGGAAAATCGCCCTCTGGTTATATCCCTTACCTCGGGTTTCTAAAATTTAAGGTATAGGCAATTCCTGATAAGTCGAACTTCGGATAACTCGAAACGATTTGCCCGGTCCCTAAAAGTTCGAGTTTTATGAGTTTTTACTGTATTTAATTATATAAAACTACTACTATGGTTGCACTCGGCAGCAGAAAATCTCTCAAATGAGAGTTCAAGAGGCGTAAAGCAGATTCGCAATATTTCTCTGGTTCAGGCACACCATTTTAATGCCCACGAAACCGATTAGATTCACCGCAACTGCGGAACGCGAGAAACTTAAAATTTTTGGGAATTCGTCTATCAATTTACTCCGTGTTCGTTTTAGGTGCGGCCAATGCAGACGACTCGACTTTTCTTTTACTCTCTTCGAGGCGGAGAAAAGTCTCTCGGCTCGGGCATTTGTTAAAGGCAGAGTTAAAACGGGGTCGATTAGCTTCATGTTTCGAAAGCGCATCTCTTGAACTCATGAATGCTCTGAGATGTAAAAACAACAAAAAAAGGAGGAGAATGAAAACCATACCGTACAAGAGCTCTAAAGGCAGACTTACAGGCTATTACATTACAGGGAATAAAAGGCTATTTTAAAATTGCTCCAAGACAAAAGGGGGCAACTGCCCCCTTACCCCCACGAAATGACGTCCCTGTTCAAGACTAGTTTGCACGATGACATGCACATGCTCAACCGCTCAATCCAATGCATTAAAACCACTGTCATCTTTCAATAACTGCTCTTCTCCCAACAGTTCTATCGTACAGGATGGGCCAAGAAAAAAAGGACAGTTTTCAACGATAACTACACTTCACTCACTGCATATATATATATATATTTTTAAATGGGTTTGCGGCATTTGAAAGAGAAATAATAAGCTTTAAAATGGATTACTTAAATTTCAAATATCTTCAAAAGTTTTAAAAATTCGGGAGCTCATACGAACCAACAAAAAACTGCGTTGGCACACGGACGCAGACGGCATGTGGCCTTCAGCCGCCACCTGTCCATCCCCACTTCTACAAAAAATGCAGTTTTTGTTTTGTTTGAAGTTCATATGGGCTTCCGAATTTCTGAAACTGTTTAAGATATTCAAAATGCATGCGCATCATTTTAAAGCATAGTCGTTCCTCTTTCAAATGAGGCAAACCGCATTAAATATACGCAGCGAGTACAGTATAATGTATCGTTGAAAACTGTCCTTTTTTTGTCCACTCTGTATATCAGTCGGCATTAGTTGAGCATTTGCATAATATAAAAACTACATATTCCAAGATCAATACTGTTTTTATCGGGTGCACTTCTAAATAGGGTTCCAAACTTGTAAACAGTGCGGCAACGATTAAAGGTCTGGCTTTGAACTTGAACCTTGAATTTAAGAGAAAATTTTTTCTGCATTTTAAATGAAACCTCATTTAAATGAGCTACTTGCATACCTTTCCATGGTATGGCAGCATATGGCGATCATGTCCCTGAATGTCTGAATTTTAAGGTATTCCCTAGCCAAGTCAACCAAAAGTTAACAAATTATCAGGATTTGGTAACAGCTCACATGCAGCAATAGCTGGACAAAATATGTACAAATGTGAAAAAAAGTTGTAGGAAGTTATATATGGGATCCACCATCTCCCCTCTAATGATAAGTTTTTATGAGCAAAGGCATAAAGTCCTACAAAAGGATAGCCCTTCTCTCACTTCTTGCAACACTAGAAGACAGTTTAACTTACTGTAGCCCTTGCAAGGCAGCTACTACCTACTTCCTAAATCCTAGATTTGAGATTCGCTGAATTGGCAACTGCTTATTTTACATTCAGTTGAGATGGGATAAATTTAGAGATGGGTCATTGACCGATCAATAAAAACATGTCAATGGACAGGTGAATATTGTCAACTAGGGTCAATTTTGGTCAATGTCATGACTCACAAGTGATAGACTAGGCATGGGAACTTGAAAGGTCAACATGGTCATTAATGATCATTTATGGACAATAATGGTCAACAAGCTCGACAAGAGGTTAGGCCTTATGATTGTATATGATCATAAATGACCATGTTGACCAGTCAGCATCTCATCACTAAGATAGACTTTACCATGCAGATTGCATGAGTTTGGAACATTAATCAGTAACTCATGTCTCAGAGGTAAATTCTGTAACTAGATAGCTCCATAAGTAATATGAATAATGAGAAATGCAAGACATTGCTTCCAGAACAGGAGTTTCATGGTTTCTGATATTAGCATTTATTCATGCACCTGCAAGAAAAAATAGCCTCTGCCTTGCTTAACTCAGTTCTTCATAGCTAGATCAATTTTTTTAGGCTTTGGCCAAGCAAAATCCAAGTACTTGTCCTTTGATCACAGGCTGAGAATGATTTGATACTCTGATGCAGACTATTGGCCAAAACCATGATACACCTTGCATTAAACTAAAGTTCTAAAGCTGTAACTTAGATTTTGAACCCTAACTTTTAAAGTCATTAAGGCTGTAAGACCTTGAACAGCAGGCTATGCCTGTACACACATTCTACACCTTAATTCTCTGTCTAATAAAATTCTGTCACCTTAATTCATGGAATAAAAAAAGAGTGGTCGATTGATTGCCCCATCCCTAGGTAAATCTTAATACAACAGAATGTTCACTGCCTTTTTGCTCAATGCATTTCCTAGGCAACATTGCCAGTTGACACCATTCTTGACTGACAATTTCACTTTTCCATTCTGACTTTAAGAATTTCTTTAGCACCTGAAAAAGGAATTCAGACTATGAACATTGAGTTTTTCTGACCCTTTTATTGATGTTCTTTCACTTGTTATCCTCTTGATCATGTTTTTCCTCAAGTTTAAAAAAATCAAGTTTCTCCTCTCCTCATCAGAATTGCATCACCTTGGGGTGCTCTTCTCATCCTTAACAAACAAGCAAAAGCAGACATACTCACTTCATGGACCAGTTTAGTAGGCACATCAAAGAGGATTCGTCCACGTGCAGCAATCCCATACGAGCGCAATTTTTCCAAGCACTCATCTCTAGCAGGAGATTCAAGCCCTGTCACCACAGTTCCTTCAATTGTGCACACATCTTGGTTCTCTGGATTGAGACCTTTCAGATGATCCAAATTTTGGGGTAGACCCTTGCCAGAGTTAAAATAGTCACTTTTTTTCCTCCATTGTCTATTTTTCTGACCCCTCCGATTCCAGTTTTGCCAAGACATCCTTCAAAGTAGAAAAGAAAGAGACAAATGAAAGTGGATGTCAGCTGAAGTGATTCATTAGATCTAAAGCCTCCCTGCACACTTTGCTTGTGCTTAACCCTGAGACATGGAGAAGCTAGGGATATCTTTATCACCTGCAAGGACTCTATAGTGGGGTCTGGGGGAAAGAGTTTATGCATGTGCATTGCCATACTTGAACCTCAAGAGAGAAAAATTAGTAAAAGAAAAGGCTCAGAAAAATTTAAACTGACCTGAACTTATCAAATTAAAAATTTCTAACAGGAACTCAAATTGAAGAATTTCCATGATTTATTGTTCAACCAAAGTTATTATTAGCATTGGCATGAATTTATGGAAGTAAGGATCTTATAGTAGATCTGCACTGTCAAGCTCAACTTATATTCTTCCTCAGTTTGGTACCAAGTCTTCAAATGGTCGACATAATTATGGCAACAGCAGTCATCAGGCTTTTCAATTCAGCCATTCCTACTGTAACTTTTCCTGCCTTCAACATAAGATGACAGTAATATGAGCCTGAATTGATTTAAATTTTTGCTAAACAATTAATGAGATCAATCAATGAACCAGGCAAGAGTTAAACAAAGAGTTTGGAAAAAAAAAACATCCTTCACATCCTTTTTTGAAGAGCATGATGACACAATGTGACCATCAAATTTCCATACACAAAGCATATTGAGAAATTCAGCACTTTCTTGCAAATGGGTCTGATGGGATCAAGAGGTTCTCCTTTGCATTCATACACCTTGATTCATGCAGGCACAAAGCACATGTGGTGTTTTCAAACTAAACCTTCATTGAACAGTAGAGGTTGAACAAGTCTGTGATATAGACACCTCCATTTCCTTCTCAGCAAAAGTACCTTTCTATGGTAACAGATTTAGGTGCACCTTACTAAAAGTCTCTTGAAACCATAGATTACCTTGTCATGACTTTTCTCTAGAGTTCTCTTGAGTTAACTCAGAGCATATGCTCAGTGGAATAACTGAACTCAATATTATAAGCATCAGGACTCGCATTGACTTTTTTTTAATGCATGACAACATACATGATTTAATGGTATAATACTATGAAGTTGTGCACCAAACTTCATCAAGATCACTCAACTCTTTGGTGGTGCTCCTTTTTCTACAATGAATGTATGTTAGTAATTAGACAATAGTGAGTCATGTTTTCACATCCTTAGTGAAGTATGCCTATCTTTGGGTAGGTTTACACAAGTACACTACTATAGCCAGTACTAGGAACTCCCTTGGAAGTACCCTCAACAAAATTCAACCAAGGAAAGAATCTCTAATGTATGTAACTTTCAAGTAAACTAGCAAATGTAAGCCAAGCCTCTGATGGTGAGCAGGACAAGCACTTGCCCTCAACTGCAAATTTGGAGGCAAAAAGCTAGCAGCCTCTGAACATCCTACTCCACACATTGAATCTCACATCGAAACAGGCCTAACCTCAACTACTCTCCTCTGCCAAGTCATATAGCTATAAGCCTAAGCCTACCAGGTATAGCTCATTAGATGCACATTTTTTTCATTTATGAACACCAACTAGGGGAATCATTCACTAAACATGTACATCATAGTACAGTCTGTATGGCACATATGCTGGTGAGAGATATAGTCATATGTTACATGCACTTCTCTCATGCCCCAGTTTACTTCCAAATCCATCCAATCCCTCATACACCCCCTTGTTCTCCTATGGTAATTGTGCTTATTCATAAAACAACCATGCATGATCATATTGGCTAAAAGAAACCTCCTGCTGAAAATCCTACAAAAAAAAATAAACAATGCTACAATGGATTAGATTACCATGTATGGTCCTTATAGTTCGGCAGGAAATTTTAGCTGTCAAAATTATTGGAAGGAATGTGTAATCATTATATTCTGCTTTGGGAGGGAGGAGATGCTTTCATTTCTCCGAATGGCTCTCATAAGCATCTGAGTAATTGCATCATGGAAAACTCTTCTTGCCTCTCTCTTCCTCTGTATCATGAAGTATGGAAGGTGAGGGATGTGATGGAATGAGAACAGTTAAGAGCTCTAAATCCCATGATACACTAGTAGGCATGTTCCAACAAGTTTGGCCCAAGGTGCTAAACATATACAGGGTTCACAATAGCTTTTTAAAATCTTGAGTCCTGGTGCCTAGCTTCAGCTGTGGGAACATGTTCAGGTGGTTGTCAAAGAGTCCCACAGACTTGAATGTTTTGCAAATACGAGTCCCTCCAAGAAAATATGAGTCAGGGACTCGCTATAGCCACTTAACATGAACCCGGATATACATAGGGCTGTCTGTCAGGAATAGCTTGGATTCAGCACATTTCAGGTTTGGCTGTTTCAAAGTGAAGGAAACCCAGTTGACTAAGACATAATGTTAGTTCACATTCCATTTGTACATCATGCTGGATGCTGGAAGAAGTATACAACAGCATTCCGCAAACTGACAGTAAAACGACACCTTGTTCCCAGCAGATGTAGCACTGCATCTGCTACACTTCATGCTCCACTGCAATATCAGAAATAGGAATGGTTTCTATTCAATTCTGCAAGCAGTACGACAGGCTGCATCCAGCTGCTGTGCATCAATTTTCTTACAGAATGGCAGTCCCACAGCTGGGCATGCTGGATAATTTTTTAGCGCAGCATGCAGTTACGGCATACCGCACGGCATATAGGATGAGTATGGACTAGGCCTAATAGTCGGCCACCTCGTGCAGCGACAAACTCGTGTCGTTCTCGTGGCCGTGGATACCGCTCCTAGTAGAGCCCTGCGCTGTTTACGAAGTGACCCGCTTTTTAACACAACCCATATAAATTTTTAGGTCTCAGCAAAGCATTCTTTTTCCTTCAAGCGCGACTTCAGGAGTTATTTATTTTTAACTTGGCGTTTGGGCTGGAACCATGAACAACCTGCATTTAGATTGGAATTAGGAAGATGCATTTAATCTACGGGCGTTTGAACTGCTCAATACTTACCAGTTAAGGTATGCCTTAAAGGCGATGGAAGATTCTGATAACAGGAATCTTGGGGCAAAATTCTGGACGAAGGCCTGTGTTTCTGCACACCGAAAATTCGTTAAGCTAGTTTCCCTCATGAACGCATCAGATTTGAATCACTGAGTAACCATTGACAACAACTATCATTCGAAGCGTATTCAATGAATTCCCTGATAAAGCTTTGGCTTGCACTTGACAATCTGCCTGAGAAGTTGAACGCCGGTTCCGTTTCGAGTACATTTTGTGTGAATTCCGTCTAATAGAAACATGCGTTCCGCATATGTAATCTGAGTCAATAACCCGAGGGAAAAGCCCTTTGAGCGAGCAGTGAAACTTTGCGGGCATTCTCACGACAGGATTAAGAAAAAAGTGGAGATGCTTCCATTCTGACCAGTATTAATCAGCTGCTTCGGTTTTTTCTTCACGTGCGCCGGGGACGAATACAACTTTTGCCTTTTGCGTTGCCACAGGCTCCCCTGAATCGCTCCAGTTCCACACAGTTTAGATTTATAGCCTTTACATGTGGAGTGAGGCACTGCACAGACCGACACAGCTCTGCGTTTCGAGCAAAGTAACCATGGCGCTTTCGTCATTTCATTGATTCATTGATCAGGAATGGAAAAATATGAACTTTAGGGAGCACAAATCGTTTCTGGCCACAACCAGGAAACCCTGGCATAAATAATTTGGAATATTGACTCAAGATTGTTATGGACAGAGGGTCGAAATTCGGGGCTGTATGGGGACACTGGACAAATGGTCACTGTAGTCTGCGGTCTGAAGGAAGGGAACTCGCTGTCCGCAGGCCCTATACTTTATCAGAGGTTGTCAAGGGCTGCTCCCTTTCGTCTTTCTGTATATTTTAACAGCTGTTTACGAAAACTCGTGTTCATACAAGATTTGTAGCCCTGAGACTGTCATAGCCATACGCATGCATATATTTTTTTAAATTCGTATGGCCGTAATTAATCATTTGGCCGCCACGCTCTCCAACAAGGTATGAGCGAAAAACGTCACGCTAGTTTTTATTTCAATTTTGCAACTTCTCAGATAATTTTTTCCTATAAAATATGGACATTTCCCTGGTGCTACGAAAATTTTGTCACATGTCAACAACTAACTATGCTTCCTACATATGTGTTTTTTTTTCATGTCAATTTGTTCTATCACTAGTAAAAAATCTGATTTCCGGATTTTCATTTTCCGAAAATTTGACCTTGTGACTTTAAAATCAAATTTATTACCTTGAATCTCATTGTAGGGAAGAGGCTTCAGATAAAATTCGGAAAGTACACTCATTTTTTTCATCTTAACTAACAATAGCCAACAATACCAAAGGCCAAGATTTCCAAAGATAGATTTGTTTTCAAGATACAGGAAGGAGAAACAAAGCAGCACTCGACGGTCCTTGATAAGAATACAAGAGCACGTGGCGTCGTCTATTGGAACCGAGCGGTCCGCCTCCCTCAGCCAATCAGAGCGAAGCTGCGCAGAATCCACTCGGAAAGCGTGAGTTTGGGATCGGATATGAGTCGATTTGATGTTATTCGTAAAATACCGCCTGCACGGAACTCTACCAAGCGGCCTTTTATGAATATTGGAGGGATCGGATGTCACAAAGGCAGTGCATCGCATATTACGCACAGACAAACCTTTCGTGAACAGATTGCTCGAACAGTGATCGGTGGAACAGAAATGAGAAGGTAAGGGAATCTTCCCAGCCTTCTCCTACGACTCAACGATTGATTAGTTGTTGCTGTCATTTCTTTCCTCTGTGGGAAATGAATGGTTCTGTTGGTAGCAAACTTGGGTCCCGTGACATGAGTCTTCGAGTTTGTTCCCCAGTAGAAGTCCTGACGTGCATAGATAGGAAGCCCCCGAGCACGTAGCATTTACTTTTCAAAATGTGAGACGTTATAGAACGCCTATGGGAGAAGGCCTACCTCGGCCAGCGTCTCCCCGGAATTATCCCTTAGGCCAAATTGGGTATTCCAAGGTGAGAGGTTACTTGTGTTAGGTGACGTTACGGGAAGGGGGGGGGGGGTAATAGTTCCAGAGTCTTGGTGCAACAATGAGACTTAAGCCTCTTGTGCTTGATATCGCAGCGGTTCTCAACCTTTTTTCACCCACGGCTCCCTTTTTGGGTAACGAGACATTTGCGGCACCCCTGCACAATCCCATGAACCACCAGAATCAATAATAAAGGGATAAATACAAATTCTTAGGACCGGGACTTATTCATGAAAAGAACTATTATGCACTATCACTATATAGCCAATCACTTGAACACTTCTCTCTTTGTTGGGAGTGCTAGCTTCCCAAATTTGACCTGAATTTACTGGAAAGCATGGACTCTTGATGGCGAGGCCTCACCACATATTACACACTCCGGACGAGTCATGCCACCAACTTGTGTGGCACAAGCCAAAGTTAAGATAGCTTACGCCATATTTCTGCAATTTGTCTTTCCTGTCGACTTGTTTCTCTATACTACGCTTTTTTGTCAGTTTTACAACCAGCACAATATTTCCGCCGAGATTTCGCTTGGACATGCGATAAACTTTTCTATGTTAGATTGCAATATTAAAACTCGGAAAACACATGTGAGGAATACAAGCAATTTGGATTTAGAGCTATGGAACAGAATTCATGACAGAAATACAACTATGCAACTTTGACACCATGGAACACAGCACAAGTGACGTGTAGCCAAAAGGAGTGTAAGAATCCCCTTCCATTTTAGTTTAAAAATTACCAAAATATCCGAAGGCTTCACGAAATGAAATCGTTACAATGCCTGCGATTAGAAGACAAGACTGAATACGCCCGATATGGCACCTCATAGGTCCCCATGACTCATGAACAGCAGAGACAGACTGAAAGAGGATTTCAAATGGTGATAAGCCTCGGTCAACAGATGGTTGAATTTCGATTCCAGGTTTGCAGCTTTCCATGAATCCTAAGTATTGTCACGGACGACCAATGTTTTCACATTTTGCTTCTTGTCACTTTTGAACTGGAGGATCGAACTGGATGGGTCAGCACTGAGGCCTTATTTGCCTTATTTTTTGCGATAATGGCATCCTCCCCTGCCGTGAGCTTTCTGTTTTCTCCAGCGCGGCAGCGAAAAGCTCGCAACGACAATGGCAAAAACACTCACCTCCATCGTTGACCCCCTTGTTTTGCAAAACTCCACCATTGAGACGAAAACTCTGAGTCTTCCGCCTTCGGTTCATCTTAGTTCCTGGATTGTTCTTCCTGAACTAGGGAGACTCGCCATACTCTCCATGGAGTATGACGCGATCGAGCCGTAGCTGTAGTCAACCACCGCTCCACAGCCCGTAAGAAACACATTCTTGGTCTTCACAAAAAAAGAAACGTACTGGTGCAAGTGTCCTCTGTACGCGCGTCCTTACATGCTTCAATTTTTGATAACTATCGTCGACAGGTTAGTTCAAGGTTTCAGAGAAGTGGTAATCCCCCACCCCTACCCTCGCCCTAGGGGCATGACTGGAAAAATGAACGTGCTACGAACCCGTTGCTCATTGCAAGCATTCTGCAAAAATTATTATCAGTAGTCATTTTCGCATGACAATAGTGGGTCCTGAGTATGCAGAATTTGCTATGGTAATAAAATAGATGTTCACCATATTCTCACCATGGTAGTCGCTTCTTCGGTAATAAGTTTCCCTTCCTACACCGGCAGTGGTAATCAGGCCCAACGAGGCAGGAATAGTGGGACTCTAGTGTCAAGTGTGACATAAATGGTGCCAGACCGCCAGTTCCATATCGTGCGGCCCTCCAGAGTTGTGCTTCCTGGACTAAATACACAAATCGAAGCACTCGAAGACCCTGGAATCCAAACGAGCCGGGGCTCGGTTCTGTGCTTCCTCGAGGATGCGATTGCGTGTATCCTTAAAGCTATGCAGCCGGGTGAGCCTTGCGGCACACTCCTGGCTCCACGGGCTGGATATCTTCTCCATCACCCAGGGCATACTGAAAGAAAAAATCAGTACTGCACATATGATTATAACCCCTCTGGATGAGTGGTTGGTACGTCCCCCCCCCCCCCTCCGCGGAGCGCGAAAATTTGGGAAGAAAAATTAGGTTTAGCACCATTTATAAGTATAATTTTTGTTTCAAAATGAATGTCCAGTTTTGTGCTACACAAATTTCGATTCAGAACTGCAAATATCTGTTACAACTGCACATTAAAATACGTCCTGTTATCACCCTTTCAAATGCAAATATTCTGCATCATTTTGCATGGGTTTCCACATGGATTTGAGCTTTCATTTAACTCCTCCTCCTCATATTGTACAATAATTAGGAAAGAAGTTGCAATTGTTGCAGAACGCATAATTTAGTTCCTTGTAAAAATTTTCACTAGCAACGTTTCGGTGAGTTTGCAATAGGAAGCTACGATTTTGAATACTTATTATTCTCCATACCAAAGAGCATTAAATTTTACAAGGAAATCCAAGATGGCCGAGAAACAAATGTCCTGATTTCTGGACTTTCGACGTGGAATGACGCAATCTCTCCCTCTGCGATGACGATAACGTCGATGTAAGAGTCGGTGACCTTAGTCCATCACCGATACCTTCTTGGATTCACTCTTGAAAACTGAGTCGAAAAAGAAATCGTTCAAGATTCCGGCCATGACTCTGCAATTTGCAACTATCTCTCCCTTATCGACACAGCGTTTGGACGAGAGTATTACTTTCCTGCCCTGTCTGAACGACTCTTGTTGCACTCAGCAGCTCGAGTGGTTTTGAGCGAGGGAAAGAAAAACAAGACGACCCCGAAAGAGTAGGTTTGAACCCCTTCCTGAACGCATCCTGGCTCAACGTAATATTTGCGATTCCTTATCTGCAGAAAGGACAACATTTTTCGACTGAAGAGTACCTGGAAGCCTTTTAGGTTTTTCTGTCCATCGCCGATGTCTTCCATTTAGAATAGTTTGTGTCTAGGAGCACTTAAAACGGAACCCTGACTTGCCTCACCCATGCAGCCCCCGTTGACGGAATGCTGCTAGTCTTTGTGGACTTCCACAGAACGCGATAGGGGTAGATCACAGAACCTCATCCAGTTGAGCCATTTGGCCTCGGTCGGACGTGTTCGGTCTTGTGTAGGAAGTATAATTTATGTTCCAAGGATGACCTGGAGTTCTTTGGGATTCCAGAAAATGCATCATATCCTTTGTGCACCAAAAAATGCAAAGAAAATGGTGCTACTTTTTCTGGCGATGGTTCTGCCGATTTCCAGCACATAGTGAAGGCATCATTCTCAAGTTTTTCGTCAGAACGAATATCTGCCTTTTCTGCGTCTCATGTGAAGTTTACACCCTGAAAACATCGATTGCAAACACTCCCAGTTGTGGCTCCGAATTCTGCATTAAACTATTCCACATTTGTTTTCACGCACGGACAAAATTGAACAGTTTACTCAGAATGACCTCATAATCCTTGATTTTGTCTTTGGGGGAATGGCAGAGACCGGAGGATGGATCTGGGCAATTTTCCGCAGATTACAGCAACCAGTTCACATTGAGGTACCGAAAGTGATGTCTAAAACAAAAGCGAAACTCTCGGAAGAGTCGACAATCTTTCTCTTCCATCTGAAAAAAAAACCCGTAACCTATTGTGTACCTACACGCATCCATGATCAAAGCGTTCCGCTTCCCCTATAACGAAGAATTTTCATTTCCAATTTGCATTAACTTGTGCATGTTTGTATGAAAAAAAAGAACGGCCCTGGGAAGAGAATACAGTTATACAGACGGCCGCAATTTCCTCTCTATCCATCAATTGAGAATTGCGCCGATGCCTAAAGCCTATAGGTCATACTGTATAATACCGTAGGAGAGGTGCATGGACATGGATGGAGAGCCACTCCCCGGGATTTTAGGGTGGAGCCCCATATCCGGCCTCATTTTTTGTCCGGCTCATCTTCTCTCCCCTCTCTCATTCCCATGCAGTTCGGTGAAGGCCTGGACCCCAGCCATAGATATAGAGAGATGCACTCGGAGGAGAAGGGAGGTCAGTGGTCAGTGGGACAGTGGCGACTGAGGATGACCGGTGGACACTGAACATAATGAAAATGCCCTTGTGTATGCCTCAAATCATGCTTCAGGCTATGACCATAGTAACCATGCTCCGGCTTCTCACCGATGGTAAGTCCGATTCACGATTTTCTTTCTCCTCGTATCCTCGCGGCACGACGGTGGACCTGGATTCTCGTCAACTTTCGATTCGGCCTTTGCCAGTGCCGTCCGATCGTTGGAGTTATCCAATCATAACCCTTTACTAGTTGAGTACTTATTTCGATGACATTCCGAAACCACTCTGGCATTTCGCAGAAAGCGCTCCAGTTTTAAATTTTAAATGAGGGTTTCACCTCCTAATTGCTTTTCGTCCCTGCGTGCATGATTCTCGCAATGCGGCTTCTTTCGCTAAAATTATTCATTTGGGCACAGTTAAGTGAGACAGTCCTTTCCAGCCTTTTCCAATTGAATTTTGTATCAGTTTCAAATGGTTACACCAGGCAATTTCTGCCATGTTTTTTCTTTTACAACTGACTGGGAATTCGACTTTTGTGACTTCCCCCGAAATTTATTTCTTGCCTCTGTAACATTATAGACAGAAATACTTATTTCCAGGGAGACCGCAAGGGCTTCTGTGATTGCCCCGTAGCCATATTGTTCTTCGACGCCTTTCTCGCTCACGACGGAGGACTTTTTGCCTAAATCTTATTTAATGGCACATCTTCTGTACGAATACGTCGCAGAAAAAAAAAGCAATTTGTTACCTGGGTCAGTCGCTTCCCCCACAGTCCACGTCTATTGAGATATTTTGAAACGGCGAGAGTCCCAAGGGGACCGGACGACAAACTCCTGCACGGAAACCGACAGCTATGTTTAATCTAGGCTCCGTTTTGGATGGGGGTACGATGGCTCCACGTTGAACTGCTTCGGGCCTTCCAGGCGATTCCCGAGGAATTCCTTCGGGAATCATCGGTTACGCTTCGTTTGGTTACAAATGGTCTCGGCGAGTTCGGGAGATCGAAAAGTTACGTGAGAGCACCGCTGTTCACGGGGGCAATTAATTCATTCCACTGACGAATCCATGCATTCGTGCGACACGACTAGTTCAATCATTCCTTGGAATTCGTCTCACATCATAACATTAATATCACTCACGTCGATGAATTCGTAAAGCGCTCGAAACTTATCATTCAAACCTGCATTTCTGGGGAGTTCAGCCCTACTTTCTGGGTTTACTTTTTTGTTATTCCCTCTTGCTTTACTTCTCTCCTCTTCGAATGCTACGAGTAAGTACCGGCATGAAAATCAAACAGACGAAAAGTTTTCTTTCAGTCAGTCGAGATTGATTAATTTTCTGCTATTTTTCATACATTTTTTGCTTCACCCGCACTATTTCCCTGGATTCGAGGCCCACGACTGTGTCGTACTTCAGTCACGTAGACTTCGACTCGGTCGCTGTAGACAGACTCAGATTTCCACGATATTTGTCTTTTTGCCTTCGCAGCTCAAGTTCAGGATTGTGGGAAAGGGCAGCCGGGGGAGGTCGTCTACGAAAGGATACGAGGATATGAGTACAAGAGTAGAACCACGGCGAACAAGGTCAGTCCGATTCCTTTTCCTTGCCCTTGGATTTCCTCGATCGCTACGATATGACACGAGCCCGATATGGATCTCCTCACTTTCGGCTCACAGTCTTGGCTTTTAAGTTCGAGTCGTCCCGTCGTGTACCACACCTTTCATGAATGATTCGTCCCGGTTCGAGACAAGGTGGACGTGTTCTTCGCACTCCCGCTCTCGACTGATTTTTGTCCTTACTGTCGGTAGCATCTTCGCGGGGAGTGACTCAGATAATATCGTCGGTGCTGTATTTTTAGAACATTCCCAAGTTTTTCACACGATTCGTCCTTCTGGTCGATACCCATGGGATCACTCGTTAGTTCCTCATCCTCGTACTGAAACCTACGTGCTCGAGGAAAGAGTGGGAAAGCGACGGAAGATATGATCCCAAACGCAGTAACTTTAGAGATTTCCCAAGTTTTTCCTCTCCTCCATCGTTTCTGAAATCATTAAAATTGAAGGTAGTTTCTTTTCAAGCTCCAGCAAAAGGCCAAGAAAGAGAAACACTATTAGGCTTACGGGCCATATTGCAAGATGTATCAGTGGGAATCTTGGAGGCCTGGCATGAGCCACGAAGGGCCAAATCACAAAAATTGTCAGCATTGCACAAATCTGGAATAACGCGCCGCAATATTGCCTCAGCACAATGCATTTTATTTAGCTGGTAATCGTTCTATAGACTGAAGCATATGATCAGGCATATTTATTGAGCATTTGAGATATGGCACTGGCAGCAGTGAAGTTTAAACATGAACAGAACAAAGGTTCTGACATTATCCAAGTAATAACTAATTTGTTATTCAGTGCATGAAATATGCATTTGGAGAACTGAAGCAAGTACTCGTGAACCTTAAAACGGTTCTTGTAAAATTTTCCTTCCACTCCTTACATGGAATTTATCATGAAGTTTTCGCTTTGATTGCGCACTTTTTTCGCATTCTTACGAATAACTTAAGTTGGAAAAATTGCCATTTTCAAGACCCCCTTGGGAAATGTATTACAAAGTGATCACATAAAAGGCTTACGTAGGTATCGCTCAGTTTCACCCGCTGTGCTTCAACGCGTCTTTCATTTTCAATTTTCTGGACCGAAATGTGTCAAAATAACGTTCTGTTGATGTTTCTTACAATTACAGCAAAAATGTACAACAATCTAGGAAACTATAAACATAAACTATAAACTATAAAAAGGAAGAAACCTTTACCAAAACTGACAAGAGTCCTAATGTCATTACTGCAAAAAAATACTGACTACCCGGCTACCATCTTGTCCATCAAACGTATCGGGTTTCAGCGTGACATGTCGTCAATATGGGGTTGAATTTTTCAATCATTTAAATATTTTGGTTTGTTCGAGCATGTAAAAGTGAATTATGGCACCATCTTTTAGCATATGAGATGCATTCATGAAGATGATCAATAATTCAATATCATTAGCCGTCTGTAATTTCCCCCCCACCGTTTTCCTTCAACTGGGTTCTCTTACTTTCAAATGAGTAATACCTAGTTAAAATCGCGATTTTTAGTGATACATTATTCCAGGAATAGTCTATGGGCTCGGTTTGTGGCTGTTGCGATTTATGGAAATTGTCGATCGTGAGGGCTGATGTCTCTGGGAAGAGGGGGTGATGACAGCCCTGCCCTAAGGGGGTGATGACAGTCCTGCCCTAAGGGGGTGATGACAGTCATACCCTACGGGGGGCGATGACAGCCATGCCCTTTCCTGTCCCTCCCTATCAAATTGACACACCCATCCCAGGCACTCGGAATGGACTCTTCACTTCCACAGGTGCAGGTGCAAATTTCACGTTCAGCTTGGGTTGGCGTCTTCATGAAATGAAGGTAACCATCCCTCCGGCAGACGTTACGCTGCTCTGAGTCCAAATAATCTTATCATAGCACGAATGATTGAGAGATACTAGTAAATGGTACTCGACCGAATGACCGAATGAGTGAGAATATAAACGTTTTATGTCCTCTCTGATGCTCGCCGGTTTAAGCGAAATGCTTTTGGAAGCAGTGGCCTAAATTACGAAACTGAGAGATTCCTTAGGATTCGGATGCCAATTTTATCGATTGAAATGCAAAAAAAAAAGGAAGGGACAGCGTCGACTGTGCCTGGCTCCGGACCGGAAGGGAGGATCCCCGCGGTGATCTCAACCGCATCCGCTATCCTCTCGTACAGTACGCCTTCATGCCATTCCATACTTTATCCCCCATTTTTTACGGTTTCCCGATTTTTTTTTGTCCATTGTTCGTCCTGTCGACCCCGTTGCAGGAACGGCAGGATGTCCGAGACGGTTGCCTTCCTGCAACGGGGCGTGACAGGTGCGGGGGACTCTCCCCGTGCAACGGGGCCTCATACACCCTTTTCCTCTCTTACCACACACTCTGCATCATGGACACAATTATAATTCGCCAACGTGGGAACATGATTCAGCCTAACACGTCCGTGTGACCGCCAGCATCGAAGACAATACTCCCCGCCGTTTCGCAACGTCAAAATGAGAATTGCCACTTTCCGGTTGGGCGGAGGTGCCAACCAAAAGCCATACTATTTTATTTGCCTTTATAATCGCATGGTGGAGGTCTATTGGTAGCGCGTCGGATAAAAAAAAAGATTGCTCGAGCTGCTTTCAGGGTTTCAAAAAGAGAAGTTTCCATGCAGTCAAGAGCTCTGTAGCTCTGTGGATGGAATTTAAGCCTTTCCAGCGGTGTCGTATTCAATCGTTTGCTGCACGATTAACAACTTGCCTTGAGTCCAGAAAGCCATGGAACTAGGGTCTACGATGTCTGCGAAAAGTACCTCCGGTGGGAGAGCTCTCCATTTTTATATTGCAATATCTGGCAACATTATGTTATCTTGCAATGTGAAAACCCGCGAAGTCACTGAAGTGAACAGCACACCTGAAAGTTGTCAGCTTCAAGTTTTTGGACTCTATTTGTTCATTTTACAATGGTAACTACTGCCGCCGTTAGTTGCTTCAGTTACAGAATTTTATCGGTGGGGTAGACTAGATCGTAAGTGGAATTATGGGATTTACTCTAAAATTGGGGGAGAAGGGTAAAATTCTCCAGAGAAAAATGTCTCAGGGAAAAACTTAAAATATCAGTAACAATTCACTCTACAGCTAAGATATACTACAATGATAGTTCTTTACTGTCGGGGTTATCGTCCTACATTTTGTGGACCTACTTTCCGAAAAGGAAGGGTGCCACTCACCAGTTACGGTGCTTTTCTGTGTAGATGTCATGAGTAGTCACCCATAACATCTATATAACAAGATAGCTTCGCTACTACTCGATTTTTTCAATTCATGTCATGATCCAATGTAGCACCTCTGTAACGAAAGGAGGCTCACGACTGGAATGGACTTGCCTAGTTTACTTTTACGGGTTTAGGAAAGGAAATACAGCATCATTCGTAAAGCATTTATTGCAAAGAGCCTATTTTCATACGTTCCCTAATAGGATCACGCGGCAAACGGTTTGCAATTTTAGTTTTTTTTTATTTATTACAGGCATCACTATAATACACCTTTACATGAACATGATTCTTAGCTGATGCATGGTTTGCAACGTTCTCTCCATCTCGATGGTAGTACAATGATCCAAAGCTCCACAACAACTGGATTTTCTATTGCAGAAATGTTTACGGCATGTAATAGTAATGAGATGCAAGAGAGAACAACAAAAATGCACAAAAAGTAATGTCATGCAACGAAATAATTGGCTGAAAGGACGAGGGACAGATCGCACCTGTCGCCCATATATTTTTTTTTGCTATTTCAATGAAGGGCGTTTCCCGAACTGGGAGGGGGAGGAAATGGGTGGGAGAGAAACAAATAAAAAATAAACAAAAAGAGGGAGGAATATGGGGTATTGCCCCTCTCGTCGTCATAAGGCAAGATCGTGTCTTGTGGCGAGGCTTATATGTAAAGGCAAGATAGTGCCTCATATATACGTATCGTACCTTATACAGTATATTTAAGTATCGGAGTGCAAAATGGCCCTTTACCGTATATGTTCCCACCTTCACATCTCAAGTCCATAGTCACACAAGAAACTTCAAATTCCAAGCGTTTCCTTCCTGCATAATATGTCTGAGACCTGCAGGTTTAATTTAAAAAAATGAACCATTACCTTCGGAGATGCGAGTGTACATAGTTGGGGATCTTGTTTTTCATTGGCCATAACTGAAACCAAAATCTCTTTGCTAACCCTTGGGCCAAAGCGAAGGAATATACATAAACAAACGTGCTGCTCATTGGTGGAGCTTGTCCTGATGTGCTTCCAAGTGCTAAACTGGAAGCACACCAGGAAAAATCTCTGGAAAAATCAATGGAAACATAATCTGATATGCATTAGCAGACCATCACATTCGGTGGTGGCTACTTTCAATAGTGCCCGCCTGGTCCAAAGCCGCTGTCAAAAGCATCTGGCGACCGAATAAGCAGTGTACTTTAGAGTTAAAACTATTGGTCTGATTAAAACGAGCAAGATAGCAATGTTCCTGCTACATCTTCGTGTTTTCGATTTCATGGTCACAAATACCGAGCTGGTGCTGGTGGTTCGGTACTTCATTCTACAGGACTAATTTGAAGCGATGATGGATGTGTGTCTTTGCGTAAGAATGTGCATTTTTTGGGTAGGGTGCTGCTTTCGACTCGACCGTAAGATGTTTGCGTTCGGCTCAAACTACAGGTGTTTTGAGTTTTGCCGTTTTTTCTTACTTAATAACAATGGTGACAATGAGGGTTGTCGACGCGACATGGACGAGTCGTGAGGAGGGACGGAACGGCGCGTGAGCACAGCGTACTTGTTCTTGGGCAACCCAGGACTAGTCAGAGGAGTGGGAGAATGGGGACCTAGGGGGCGTCGTCGTCGAGGGAGGTCGCTTCGTACCTCTCGATGAACGATGACGCTTGAAGCGGAGGAGCAGGGATGGCAAATGCCTTCCCCTCCCCCCATTTCCGGGGCAAAGAATTCTCCCCCTCGATTTTTTTTCCCAGAGGCACAACCGTGACTAACAGATCGAGTCATGGCATACACATTAGTGTAACACCCACCCCCTGTAGGGTGCTCGGAACCATTTACTCTCCCATTTTTCAGGACGTTCTTCATATTCGCCTTCATCCTTGACGCTAAACAATTGTAGACACCTTACTCGTCTGTAAATTATTTCACGAACTTGCCGGATGGTGCTGAATGCGACGATCAAATGAAATCCTTCAACTTGTCCGCTACTGCCTGATGAGGGAGAAGCGCTGAAAGGATATTGAAACACCATTGGGTACCCCAGAATGAGAGCTACTAGAGCGATCTCCATTAGTGAGGTGCCGGGAATTTGTCTTATTTGAAAGATGTTTCTGTTTGAAGTCGCAAGGATCCCGTACTAGAGCTGGCAGTACTTATGATATACCTGTAAACTCTTGAATCAATCGGAAAAAATGAGAAAAAGATGTTATCTCCATTCCACCAATATGCGATCGTGGCTTCAAAGATAGGACTATAATTTTCATAACACGATGGCAGGATGGACCCATATTTATAAACATGCATAGTACAATACGCACTCATGTGTCTAAAATGAACCTCTTCATGAAAGACGGTCCTCGAAGATTCTATTTATGCTTCGAATTTTCCATCATTAAATTATGCTTGAATTTTTCACTTTCCCGAAGCAACCAGTTTCTAAATTTCATTTCATTCATGTTCCTGAGCGAGCATAGTGACAACGAGAATGATACTTTTGGAAAGTGGAAAAGTTTCTAAAGGTATTTTCACATTTTGCCTTTCTCGTATTTTCTATCGCTCAGTAGGAACCATCTCATCTTCCGCATTTTATCTCATATACTGTATATGCCGTCCGTACTAGAGGTATTATCATTTTACTTCATTTCTGTTGCACCTTTCCCAAGGACCATTTCATGAATGAATGAATAAAGGCATACTATATCTATTTCTATCATTAAAAGATTTCGAGATGCTCTCTGTTTGCATTTCTTTTTAAAAAATAGATTTTAAAATGCTTCAAATTGTTAACGTCTTTTTTGTCATTTCCTCCCTGTTGCAAAGCCAATGAACAGAGAGCTGAGAAGCTTGCTCCCGTATGGCCTCAATTATTGAGGAAGGGCCATGATGCAAACCAACAAGAACAGTTTTTGTCATTGCTGATGCGATGATGTGCGTAGCTGGAGATACGAGACGATCCGCTGGAGGCGCTGACGACCTGTCACAGCCGGGCGGTGGGTGGAGGCGGAGGAGTGGGGGTAGGGGCGGGACCACCCTCGTCCTCTGGAGGCGGAAGTGGAGGATCCTTGTATCAGCCCTTCGACTTCATTCCTGGCACTTATCGATCCGGTCAATTTGATCCTTCGTATTGCGTCCTCGTGGACGACGTGTTCGCGGATTCCATGCTCCCTCAGAAGATTCGCGTGAATCCGCAGGCTTCCTTCTTCAATCCCCTGTGCCTCTCGTGTACGTCCTTAGTCCTATTCTTCTACTTTCCTCACCGTTAAACGAGAGATTGAGATTCGGACGATCGTGCAGCGAGCCGAGTGACGGACTGCAAGCGTCGCCTCTACGTATTCGACGTGACCATCAACCGTGGATTCGACACGGACTCCATCACGCCCCAGAAGATGAGATCGCGCAAGGAATGCCAGGACGAGTACGCCCCCTTCATCCCTTACTTAATATCGCATGCATGCACCCACCTCGATTATACCACTTTCTCCAATGGGGTATTTTGGTTGAAGAGTCGAGGGGGGGGGCAGCAGAGCGAGGGCGCCAAACTCCAGCCGAGCACTATCAGGAAAGAAAAATATTGCCTCCAAGCCCTGTCACAGGGGCGCCAGGGGGGGCGGTCGCCCCCCCCCCCCCCCCCCCCCCCCCCCCCCCACCCNCCCCGTCACAGGGGCGCCAGGGGGGGCGGTCCCCCCCCCCCCCCCCCCCTTTGCCCATAAAATACGCCACTGACTTTCTCCCTTGCAAAATGAACTTGAATGGAGAGAAGCGTTGGTAACGCACTGTAATTGAAGTGGTGCGAAAGATGTTAAGATCTTTCCCATGACAATCTCCGTGGCAATAAGTGTTCCTATGCACAACCATGAATGAGGAAGAAACTTCGGAAAGAGTGAGAGGAATCTAAGCGCCGACTAACTCCATCTTGTACCGATGATGAGCAGCAGCAGATTTCTCTCTACTCTAGCATCGTTAAGAACCATTCAGGGTCGATGAGGTCTTCGTACTACGTATCTTTCCTGCAAGAAACCGTTTCCTAACAGAAGCAGATCGCAAAGTGGGCTTCGTCGCAAGTGCGACAAAAAATGTGAATGTGTAATTCAGACAAGAATTCGCCCTTTTTTTTTACATAATCACGAAAAATGAGATATTTTCAACCCGCACCTGATAGATGATAGTCTCAGCTCCCTGTTGCAAGGGTAAATATTCGTCAATTGTCGTCCTTCTGGTTGGAAAAAAGGTAAATCAATGCTCTCCTGAAAATGGTAAAAATTACATATTCGCTCTCTTGTTAGATCTGTGACGACTTATTAATTCTCATGGAGGAATTATGGGAGCCCATTATCTCTCTCGTGTGGCCATTCTGAATAACATGAGGTGAATAGTGGATTTCTGTTAGCTCAAACCGCGGAAGAAATTCCCAGGCCGTGAAGCCCCGTCTGGAAGCCATATATATTTTTTTTGCCTCAGACAGAACTAATTTAAAAAGGAGATCGCGAAATATGCGTCTGAAACCAATCGAGGTCGTTCTAGCAACGATGACACCATGCACGATTCTCCTTGTGGCATTGTGAACGAATGATGATACGATATATTTTCTGGTAGATGTTTGAACCGGTTCAACTTCGTGTGTCGGTACGCTGCGTACGATACGCAAAACAACGACTGCTACCTGAGCAACTACACGGTTCCAACACGGGAAATGCCCAATGTCGTCTTCATGGAGAACGTCTGTCTCACAGGTAAATACAAGCATTCCTTCATTTGCACCGAACGCTCTAAAAATACATGTATTCTTTATGCTTCCATTGCGTAACAGTGATTAGCAGACAATTAGCATTCATGATTATCGCTATTCAGTACAAACTGACTCGTAATGAATTGTTAAATCAATATCATCATAGATATTCGCTATTAACATAATTATTTTTACACTTTCACGAGCAATTTGCTCATCTTCCAGTGCACTAATTTCACCGATTTGCTCGTGTCATTTTGGGACGCTATAAATACCGCATATGGTTTTCTCGATGACTGCATGCATGCTGTGGACTTGCAGACGAGAGAGAGTGTGAATACCCTCGGAGTGCGATCGTGAGCGAAAATCGAGCCCTGTTGGCTATGGACGGGCAGAGTCAAGGGGAATTGCTTCATCGCATCAATTCCATCTCGGAGGAGCAGTGCAAACTGGAATGCGATCGCTCTCATCGTTTCCCTTGCAAGAGTGCCGTGTACATGCGGGATCGAAGCCCCACTTCTTCGTCTTGCGTTCTCACGGATGCCACGTCCAGGTCCATGGACGGTCGAAGGACCACGAAGGAGTTCTTCGATGCCAATTTCTTCGAACTCGCCTGTCTTCGAGGTGACGGGAAGATTCCCTCTCGATCGCTCTCGCGTCGACGAGATTTCTTTGCGTTTCTATTTCTTTGCGTTTCTATTTCTTTGCGTTTCTATTTCTTTGCGTTTCTATCAGTTCGGCGCGGAGCAGAGGACCGGATGAACCAGCCGGTGTTTGGAAAAGACGGAGCCAGGTACACGGTGGAGGATTACTTCGTGAGAACGGATCGAGAACGGTTGGATTCTCCGGATCGACCCGTTTTCGGGATCAGAAGTCGAACGGAATGTCTCGAAGAATGTCTTCGTCGGAGGGATTGCGCGTCGGTGTCATACAATTACCAGAAGAGAGAGTGCATTCTGTCCCGGGACGAACGACGACGAGCCAGACTCATCCCCGACGAAAACTTCGACTACTTCGAGCTCCTAGGTGAGCCTCATCTCCGTCCGGTGGGAGGGAAATATATTTAGCGGGAGAACGAAACCACGTGAAAGACGATCTCGTTTCTCACGTCTCGCATTCATGCTCCATAAACCAATCCAAATGTCTCTTCTGTAACGTCACTGGATCGGTCGTCTTCCTCATTACTTCCGACGGGATTAATGATATCGGTGAATGGCGATACCCTCTGTCCCTGCTTCATTCATGCTTCATCGCGTAGGTTTGCGCATGCTTAGAATTCCAAATATTGAATCTTTCGAATTTCCTGATAATCCCTTGAATCGGCAAATTAATTTATCATTCTAAAAAAATTCGAATGCAAACTTGCTTGCAATTGAAGCATTATGTCATTTCCCAGACTAGATGACAGCAATTTCTATAAGTTTTACTTGTGTCCTTCCCTCAAATCTTTCTTACTCGCGCTACAAGACGCCTTCATTACTTATGTACATAAAAGTATCCAAATGGAGACAGAACTAAGTAAAGGGGTAATAAATGAAAAATAAAGGGTATATGGGACGAAGGTTCTACCGCTGGAGTCTGAGACTCAAATGCTGAAACCCCCCAAAGGCGCATTTACGAGCGTATTTCGCCTAAATGAGGTTTCATCATTTGGGTTTTCGTGTCCGAAATATGCATCATTATCCTCTGCTCTGGGGAGTCTTGACTCCCTATTGATCACGATTCCTTTGATGGATCGGTACTTAGATGTGGCCAGGAGGGCTCCAGGAGGAGTGAGTCGGCAGGGACCCGATCCTCTCTATCCCCGAACCGATCCCCGATATCCATACGGTGAGTCCTTTCTTTTCCGAACAGATCTTCTCAGGGTCACACGAAGACCTTCTCCAGCATTTCCATCACCTACCAACAGGTCATGATATCATGACTTCATAGGGCGGGCCTACTTGGTGGTGGATCCTGTCCTGGCTGAAGGCCAGTACAAATTTAGAGGAACAATTCTGCTAGTAATTTGTTCATTAAAAAAAATTCAAGGATGGATTTACTTCAGATTTGCTCTCCTCGACGATCGAGCTCATTTATGAAACATAACTCGTTGAGTAATACTTCTTAAAGTATTTGCTGACACATTAAACCTTCTTTAGGAGGAGGTATTGTAAAATCAATTTTAATATACAGTAGATTGCTGAGGGAAGTTTTTGGTGTTGACAAGTTTGAAAGCATCGAGATGAAGAAGAGGAGTTCCTCGGAAAGTAATTCCAAAGCGGTTGCTGTCAGATAAACTCTGGTGATTTCCCATATCATTCCGATTATTCCTATTCCATTTTTGAACGCACCTTTGGGATGATCGAAGGTATCCTTTGGTATTTGAGTACGCTATTGCCACTGAGCACCAAACACCGGTAGCGGGATTGGATTGTCCTTAATAAGATGTAGATGCTCTCGTAGATCTTCCTAGAGGGTATATCTGTCTGTATTCTAGCCACCGTAGAAGAGGATTTGGTTTTTTTAAACAGTTGAAACCTTGCACCTTCTGGTATAGATTCATCACGAAGAGTCCGCCCGGATTTCCGGACCGGAATGGGATTTGACTCGGATCGATACCCCGGGCCGAGATACGATGACCGAATCACCCCTTACCGTCCCGGTTACGAAGAGGATTATCGATTTCGATACGACTTCCGAAGTGGTTCGTCCGGTGCAGACCGATTTCGGCCTGGCGACGATCGATATCGACCGGGCGATGATCAATATCGACCTGGGGATGATCGATCTCGGCCTGGAGACGATCGATCCCGGCTGGGTGACGATCGATATCGGCCTGGTGACGATCGATATCGGCCTGGTGACGATCGATCTCGGCCTGTTGACGATCGATCTCGGCCTGTTGACGATCGATCTCGGCCTGGCGATGATCCATATCGACCTGGAGACAATCGACTGGATGGGTTGGATTCTCAGCGATTCCCTTTCTCTAGACCTAGGACCAATGACTCCAAGGAAGATTCTCCGACTGGTACAAATTGGCATTAATCGCCCGTTTCAGTCAGGCCTATTGTCCTCCAAGCATGCTCTGCTTTCGGAACACTTCTCTATGGGGAAAAAAAAACAAACAAACAAACCAAAATGACCTTTCTATGAATGCATGATATGGGGGGGTCCCATGCAGTTAAATCTGTTTCATTGTTTCTCGAAGATTTGATGCAGGGTAGAAGTATGAGTCATTTACACGGATCGCAGTCTCAAGGCTTACGAACCCTTTGCTCTCAGCTCTTCAATGGGCTCGTACCGATATCTCATGACCATCTCGGCTCGAATTCCCGAATCTGCAAGATCCTCTTATAGCATACGATACCAATATTTCTTTCCGACTAATTGGCGTCTGTTTCGCATCGTCGGAGGAACTAGTACATATGAAAACATTTATGGGTTGTTACGAAGCCAGGAAGCTTAGAACTGGTTTCCTGGCAGAGTTACTTGGCGGTCGTAAATACTTTAAGGAGAAGGCTTTCAGAAGGATTTCACATCCGTGCTAAATTTTCCTTCCAAATGAGTTCGTCTGCAGTTGATTTGACCCATCCCAAAAACCAAAGTCTACTGGTAGATTAAAGAGCAAGAATCCTGTGATCGCGCCTCGAAAAATAAGGAAAAGAGACTTGAGGACATAAGAATCGCTAGTTTCTCATGTCGGTTTTCCTCATGCCAGTGCACGAGGAAACGAGAATGGTCCTTCCTATCAGAGATATTTGGAATTTTGTCGAAAGTGCTACCACCCGCATCAATTCAGTACTTAAGATTTCTCCACGATGGACAGAGTTGCTTTAAGGCAAGTTAATCAATGCCTCATTTGTCGGAAAGCACAGGTAATTTTTATTTTATTTTTATCCATGTGCCTTATTCTGTGTATTTTCGTTACCTTCTGTACTATACGAGACTTGCGACCACCATACAGGAAACTGCAAGAACTAAACCTCATCTACGGCTCTTCATCTGTCGAAATCGGTCGATTAGTTTTATTTCCAAGACTTTACGTTTTGGATTCAGTTTTTATTTATTATATATCACTTTCAGTGCCAAATCAATGCTTAATCTCCCAATAAGACACACCGGCAGAAGACCAGTCCAACGGTACTTCCAGTAGTCTTTGTTCTAGATTGGTCCGTCCGATTTTGGATATTGAGTATATTTTTGTACAGCCATTACTCGATCAGTACTGGAGACTCCCCCAAATGCACATTGTGCCTTTCTTTGACTTTTGAAGTTCTTGCCTGCTTTGCACCATTTGAGTTCTCTCAGAATTTTCCCCGTTCGTGCCAAGCAAATAAAATCGGCACCTATCTGCATGGTTGCACGAGTCAGTCTGCACGTTGAAATTCCTTCGGCTTGACGATGTTTTCACGCTGGAGTCAGACGAGTAGACACACTTTTACATATTTCAGATGGGGGTAGGAGGTATGACTACAGATACGATCGAGATAACAACTGGATCCAAGGAGGGGATCGGCGATATCTGTACGACGATCGTAGGAAGTTCTACGATCGAGGAAGAGGGGACACTAGGTACGGCTTCAAGGATAGCTGGAGCGGCAGTGGAGGAAGCTGGATATCGGGTATGACCAAAAACTCTTTTTTCATTCCTCAGATGCGTCTTCCCCAGTCATAATATGTATAAAATGAAGTATCAAGCAGGACAAGTTCATGAGTCTTCAATTAAAGAGAAACTTCCATTTATACCCTCATGGAACAAACTGAAATCACATGAAGACTTTCTAACCCCACGATTCGTTTCTCGATCGTGTCCTCATTGGGTAAACATGAATCTACGGGAACTGAGAAGAGGTAACGATGAAGGGGAAAGCGGGTGGAGGATAGTGTGAGGAGAGAGACGAAGGAGGGGTTGAACCTTCACTCCAACATTCAGCCAATCCGTCACATGAGCGGTGTCTTGAGGGATCCTCCATCCATTTGGAACACATGCCGAATATGAACGACACCAACCTTTATGCGCGAACGTCACTAGTCAATTTTCCTGTCGATTTGTCTCTGCGATATTTCACCCCGCACCGTCACAGCAGCCTTTAGCTCCTGTACATTCGAGATGTCAGCTCCTTTGTACAGCAGACACGCTCCTGTAGCGCTCCTCAAACAGCGTAGTCGACTGGATTGGATTAAGATCTGGGCCGTTAGGAGGCCAATTTAGTGGCTCCATGTAGTCAGAAGCATTCACGTTTGGGTAATTCAGAGTTAGCTTTGCAATACGGGCAGTAACGTCATCTTACTGGAAGGCGTACCTCTTGCTTAAAAAGCGGTGTATGTCGGGGAGATCATTCTCCTGATCTTGGTCCCAACAGTACAGTACGGTAGACTGAAACAATTCGAACCCACGAGTAAAATGAAACTATTGATATTTCATTGTCCGTGTGTTGGTGGGGATCCGGTGGGTGTCGGGTGCCCGAACCAGCAAAAACGCAGCTAGTGATGATACAATTTAATCTAGATTCAGTGCCGGAATGAATATGTCCCAATTACTTCCGTGCGTCTATCATACTCTGCGTTTACTTGTTCTCCTTGCCTCTTCTGTAAACGCGCAGAATTAAAGAGTGTATTCGAGTGAAGAATTGATGCCAACACAGCAAGACTACTTAACCTTGAAAGTCCATCCATATGACTACTATGTTGTTTCGGGGTAAGAGGGCAAATGAGATGACTTGAAGCTGGGCTCACCAGCCCAGGTCCCCCCTACACTCTACTGTAGATAGGGTTTTCTGTCTCGCCTCATTGAACAAAATATTGCCGCGTTCTGATTCTCGACGGCAGCAATTCAGATCTCGATAAGGTGCTCTGTTTAAACAATCGAAAAATAATGAGTAACATTGGAGTGGTGGATGAAGAGTAGAAGGTAGTGAGTGAAGGTTCCAGGGTCCAGGGAGAAAGCGGGAGATCCTCCACCTAACCATCCATCTCAATATCCATCTCCTTTCGGCTAACAACACCTTATACCAATTCTGGGAAAAATAGAAAAAGTGAAAGTCTGCTTTCAGCACGAAAGTCATAAAAAATGAACGAAGCCTTTATTTTTTTTTCGTATGATCCTCATAACCGTTTTCACTGTGACCAAAGTAATATTTTTTGGTGCATAAATCACCGGAAAAAGATTAAAAGAACAGACTGGTCCCTTTCCATTTTTGTATGCTAACGGTAATGCATTGAATATTACATTATACATTGTGCGCGTAAGTACATATATACATCTATTACAGGTGCACCGGGTGGACGAGAATCGGACAGGGGTCGGGAATGGTGGAGGTCAAGAACGGATTGGCGATCCGGGAACAGGGATTACTGGAACCGTGATCCATATCCCTACGATACCCGAACGAGATACGGACAGGGTGGAGGCTGGTACGACGGAAGGAACCCACCCATCGGGGATCCCGGGATCGGGATCAGTAGCAGTGGAGGGGCTTATGGCGTAGGGAGTGGGTGGAGAACGTGTGATGAAGTCCGTCGCTCGGGCGGGCGTTCTGGGCCGGGTGATCCAGGTCGCAATTTCTTCGACAGAGTCGGCGTAGGATTTCGCCTCCGTCAGCCCTACATGACCCGATACATTTCCGTCGCTTCGGCAGCCGACTGCGAGGCTGAGTGCGCCCGCTCCGGCGACTGCAATTCCTTCAACTTCAGGTTTTTTCCCATATCTCCATCCTCTATCCCTTCCGATGCAAGGTCTCTGTTTAATAGTGGGGTGGCCGATACTTCGTCTCCATCCAGAGTGGGGTTCTCACCCGGGAGCGATCGAGACAATTGCCAACTGAGTGACAAGAGGGATCTCAACGTGGATGATTCCTTCCTCTTCGAGCGGGATTCTCATTTCAACTACTACGTGAGGATGGCCGGTGGTGGTCCGGGCGGATTCGGCGGGAATTACGGACCTCAGGAAGATTGCATCGATAGTAAGTCTCCTCTTCATCATTTTAGACGACTTAGTATGTGCGCTTCCACAACGGTTCAGCATTGGGTGATCTTTCTGGAATCCAATGTTTCACTGACATACCAGATTCCTGTCGTTAACCGACCTTTTGGCCTCCGTAGATCTTAACGCGAATCACTGGCATGGGAGTAATTAGTATTATTTGCTATTTAATATGGATTAACTATTCAATATGGAAAATTGCATTGGGGACCACAAGACTGACTTTCCAGTTATTGGAAATTCGGTGCAGGATTTCCATTTGCATCAGGCAGAAGAACACCAATTTCTTTATTTAAAGCGCAATGAGCATTACTTCGCATTCTGAAATAGCGAATGCTATTTCAGAACAAGCCACGTCTTAATTTCCTTTTTAATTGGAAAAAATTTTGAATTTCTGAAAATGACCAGGTTTCAGAAGATTGCCTGACTTAAGTATCATCTGTTTTCGGATGCTGTTGCAGCATCTTTCATTCAGAAAAGATGAAACGCATATTGGAGTTTCTTGAATTCATAGATCGTAGACATTCAGTTTGAATGAGGTCATTTCTTGAAAAGTCAAATAGGAGAAATAAGTTAATTTCCTGAACAATTCCTGAATTTGGAGCGGATGGTATCACCATGACATCTCTGCTACGAAGAAATGATGAAAACGTAGCCTACTCTTCTTTCTCAGACGGGAGTGACATGTCTTGAAAGTCCACGAGTGTCCTTTCTCATACAATTAGCAAAGAGATCGTTTCATCCCTCGATCTTCATCGATATACTCTTGTTTACCTGCATTTACTCTTGCATTTATTGACTCATCTTCCTCTTTCCTTCAGTCACGTTCACGTGCGACCCGAAATTCATGGAGTTCACGATGACCACACCGGAACCTTTCAGCGGACTCATGTACACCTACAATTATTACGACCGATGCTACTACGAGGGGAAGGGAGATCGCATCAATGTACTCAAGATCTCCGTGGATTCCGGCTACCAAGAATGCGGCACTCGCCGGGTATAATTCCTTTTCGTTTTCTAAGCCCATCCTTCGGGTTGGGTTATCCGGACCTACCCTTTCTTTCAGTTCCTGCCACTTAAGATCTAAGCTCCGTGTGAGATCGCTCGGACAGCTATATCCGGTCCTATAGTGTTTCAACTCGTTTCTCATCGATTCCCTTTCAGTACGACGACATGTGGACGAACGTGGTGATGGTTCAGTTTTTGAAGAACCTGGTCACAGCTCGGGATCGAAAGTATAACCTCACCTGCAAACTCTCACACGACGGAGAAAGTGTCGTCAGCTCAGGTTTCACCCAAGTGTAAGCCTTTCATCATCCCTACTTTCTTTAACCCTTTCAGTCCCGAATTTAAGAAATATTAATGACGCAAAAACAAATTCCAGAAGAGCTCACAGGGACTCAGAAGTCCCGCCAGGCCTCAAGGTCGTGCATTCCTATATAGCCCTGCAAAATATACGGGGGAAAATTCGGGACTCCTGAGTCCCGCCGGGACTGAAAGGGTTATCCTGCCTTATGTAACGGCCTGAGGTAACGTACCTACGGACACGTAGCTTGCGCTCTCTGGTGAGCGGTAATCACTTCTCATGCTGTAATGGAGGAGCAATGGAATTATTTCTGAAGAGGGTTTCGCTACAGGAATAAGACATAATAAGGCAAGACTAAATTTCATGCATTTCGCTGTTTTGAAAGCTTAAACTAGTTTTATTTTCCCCCGTTTGCTATTCTTTGGCACGGAGGGAAGTGGAGTATTGTGCATGGAATTGGAAAAACGATTCAAAGTGGGCAGAAGGGCTTTCGAATACTTTGATGAGAGAGAACAGATGAGGAAAAGTAGGATGTTGCCTAGGTCGGCGATCCCAGTGGAATATCTGCCGGCTCAGCACGTGGATCTTCTCGATGCAGAACTTCGAATCATGTACAACGGCCGGAGCATCAGCAACATCGCCGTCGGGGACCTCCTCCTCTTCCGACTCGAGGCTCAAGGAACCTATCGATACAATTACTATGGAAATGACATCTTTGCCACGAATGTCATCGCTCGGGATCCTCATTCCGGACGAAGCATCCTCCTCATCGACGAAAGAGGGTAAGCCAATTCTAGGACCAAGCCTGTAATCTTCGCTATCGTTCCGCTTAACCTGCTCTTTTTTGCTACAGAGATTTACCGTAGAAGGATGGATAGATGAGACTTGTTTATCTTCATCATATTCATAAATGCATTGTATACAGGTGTCCGGTGGAGCCGCACATCTTCCCGCCTCTTCAAAGAGTGGCCGAGGGAGTACTTGAAGGGTATTTCGAAGCCTTCAGTATCCCCGATGCCATGTTTATGGTGTTCGAAGCCACCGTTCGACCCTGCCGAGACGGATGTCCTCCAGTCAGTTCCTTTTCGTGATGCTTCCAGTTTCGGGGCCGTTCGCGGTGAACTCATCCTCTCTTTATCGAATCCATCCAGGCACCATGTAACATGTACGGCCGGGAGATACCGTCTTGGGGGAAGAGACGAAAGCGACGGGATGCGACGACGGATCCTTCCGATGATGACGAAGAAGGTGACAAAGAAGAAACGGAGGATGCGGAAAATAAAGACGAAGAGGGACATCAAGACTATTTCGACGAATACGACGACAAGTACTACGACGAACTGAATGCGACAGATCTTTACAACAACGGAAGCTTCGGTGAACCCGCCCACGTCATGGGCATGTTCCGGGTGAGCGGACGGACCTGCTTCTTTTCTCTGCATCTCAAAACGGAACGCACGAAATGAAATGTTTCGCCTCGGACGCAGGTGTACCTGAGTCGGGAAGAGATTCCGAACGACATCGAGGCAGAGCCCTTGAATGGCTGCATGATGACTGTCATGAACCAGGGACTCCTGGCCGCCTTCATCTGCTTGATACTTGTCACCATGGTCCTCACCGTCATCGCAGGCACCATTTACAGGTACGTTACCTTCATTTCACCTGCATCTTTCTCATCTCCCGACTCTAAAGTGAGAAACCATTTTATCGATTGTCACGTTTTCTGTGGAACACTTGGAAAGTGGGATTGGTTCCCAAAAGTTCCCCTCCCCCAAATCGAATCTTAGCAAGACAAATAAAAGGTAAGAATACTATTGATACTAGTGGTTGTACAAATACTGGAGCGTTGAAGGTGTGTGTGAACTGTAGCCATTAGTCAAATTTGCTCGTGAAAAAATGCTACATCGGTCCAAGTCGAAGGAAAAGAGCTCCTGGACGGAATATTTTTGGTTTGCAGGCGTTACCGGATCCTGGCAGGGAAGCACCGGGACTCGGACTCCACATCGCCGTATGGATTCAGCGCGTGCTCGTCGGATCGACTGTCGACGGTCTCGGCCTTCAGTAGCCAATGCAGCTTCGGGATCGGTCGTCGCGGGGGCTCCGTGGCCTTGCCACCGCCACCGTTGCCGACCACGACCCACCCTGACCCGGATCCTTCGGAACCCATCTATTCCGATCCGTCCCTTTTCGAGAGGTCTCGAAGCCTTCGAAGCATGTCGGCCGCCGAGAGTCGCCTTCCTTACGACTCCTAGCGTCGCATTCGTGCACCACACCGGGCTTCTCCCACCATTAAGTTATTTTAGGTCATAAGGTCTCGCCTTTGTGCTAAGTTAGGCTATTTCCTTCGATACGGATGAGATGAATGAATGATGTCTCTGGGACAGTTCTGTGTGTGGCGTTTTATTTCGCGAAGGATGAAATTCGAGCGAGATTTTTCACAAGAGGCTTTATTGAAAAATAACTGTGAACTCGAAAAGGACTCTGCATTAGACTAAAATCCTCTGCCTCCCTTCTACAGAAAAGAAGTGAGTGGGATGATCGATTTCAACAGTATCACAAGTTATTATTAGGGCCGGCCTCGATTTCAACATCACAAAGAGAGAGTAATTATGTGAAAAGAAGGAGCAAGATCAATGAGAGTCAATTAAGGCAGATATTATCATATGATATCCATGGTATTAACCGGTTGCTTTCCTCCCCGATGTCGTGTCGTCTTGTTCGTGTGGGATGGAAGAGCCTGGAGTCGTAACGGCCTTCGAATGGACATGTCCGGCGATAATGACATCCCACCTGAGGGCAGAGGAATAATCATCGTGATCGCATGCATTCTGCAGTCTGCAGAAAGATTGCTCGAGGTAGAGACCTATCCAGGAAGTAGATGCTCCGCTCCAGGAATTGCTGGTTGGGCCACCGTAAGAACCAGAAAAAGATGAATTGAGACCATTCAGTTCATCCTGCCCCAGGCTCTTGTTCAGTACACTCGTCGACTTGCTTTTCGCCTTGTCTAACCATCCGGCCACAGGGAAAGAAAAAACCCGATTACACTTATTCTGGTGAGGGATTCTATCATTCGTTCATCTGGGGAAAGAGTGACGTCGTCAATCCTGCAAGATGGGACCTGAAAAGCAAACGCGTCGCGTCAGCGATCGTAACTTTCGCGGCTTTTATGGTAGGATCCACTGCAGAATGATATTTGATCTGGGTTCCCCTGAAAGCCCTACTTGTGAGAGAGGTCATTAGGGCTTCATGCAGATAGACTGAAATTACAAGACTATCCTAAAAACTAGAGCTGTCACGATAGCAGTTTTCAAAACATCGATGCATCGACCTGAACTATCGATAGAGTATCGATGCATCGGGGGGGGGGGGGGGGGGNAATATTCACTCTGGTTCACCATAAGTAGAGATAAATGCCCTAGGGCAAGTTAAAAATTAAGAACGTTAAGCCTGCATACTAAAGTGATAAGAATAAAGAGAGGGGATTAGCCAATGTAGGTTTCGAAATCAAGGGAGTATAAGAACAGTTCACTTTCGTAGCATGCACCTGATTAGATCGAGCCGAAAACAGAAACCGAAGAGAAAAATAAATTTTCTTGGTTTTCCCCCCTCTCCTTTCTCACTTCCTGTCTCCGATCCGACTTTTTTTCCCTTCCCAACTTTCTTATTGTCAGTCCCAGCAATTTGATTGTGATAATAAATCGCAAGCCCATGCGGGTCACGCCGCTTCTTCCTTTCCCCTCCCGGGCGGACTGTATTGTACTGTACTCGCCTCAATCCCAATGAGACATTTCCCCTTTAAAATACTTTGCCAATGCATCGCGATGGTCGAAAAAACTATCGATAGTGGTATCGATGCATCGACCTATCGTGACAGCCCTACTAAAAACCTAAATCATTGCGCAGGAACGGATGGTAGTTCCCCCATTCTGCATCGCGTCGATAGGTGAAGAGTTACATTTTCCGTCCAGCTTATAATTTCGCTCATTGGAGGTAAATTTTGAATTAATATGCAGCGGATACCTCGGATGGGCAGCAGCCCGGACTCTTCCTTGGACACAAATTCCGCTATTATTCACTTGTGCTTCCCATTCCGATGGTGCTGCTTAAAAATGGAACATTTACCTCCAAATGGAAAGCAGGAGCAGCATATACTCTCACCATACACTAGAGAGTTCTTTGAAGAGGTTTTCGAAGCATGTCGGTAGAAGACAGAGGAAGAATCGCGTGGCACCACGCCTCAAAAATAATGTAAACAAGGCTTCGGGACTCAAGAATCGCCTGTGAAAACACCTTCACTTGCATTCAATAATATCCTGCTCTATGGATGCAGTGCACTTGAAACTCATGCATTCCATGTGAAGTGATTCACCTCCCCTCTTCTCATAGGAATATGATGAAGCGAGTTTCCAACATGATCATGAATTATCTCGATCCTCAGGAAATCTAAAATAACATAATTGCCAGATGATGCAGTCACCTGGAAAAGTAAAAAAAAAATTTGCTCCGGCAGCTTAATGACTCTCAAGGATGTTCTCAAGTCTATACTTCCGTCTTCATACGTCTGTGTTCCAGGACAAGGATGGAAAACTTTAGTCAGAAATTGACTGGCAGGGCGAGCATGGAAGGGGGAGCTTGAAATTAATGTAGCTTGTTCATGGAAAAGTGAAGTCTTAATACGCCCCTTCAAAATTGTCAATTGAATGCCATAAACGTCTTCCCTATTGGCGGTCCACTCCAGACTAGAGAACATCCTTTACGGATATCGATCACCGGCGTGGCCTGATGGCAAGCATTTCCCCCATTTCCACTTGAGTCCAGCTGGGACATTCTCTCCCACGCACCTCCCCTCTGTCATATTATTTCTAAAGGGAGAAGTGCATCGATTCTCGATGAAAGAGATCGGATCAAGTCTTGCAATGCAGAGTAAGAACCCATTTGAGGTCTTTGTTAAAAAGACAAAATCTTCGCGAATACAGCCAGCTTCTCCCTCGTGCGAATGATTTCCTTCATCGGATCGAGGAGTTCCTTGTATGACTCCTTATATATAATAATTAACATGTGATTCTGATTATAATCATGCTTTGCAAATGGCATATTTAACCCCAAGGCAGGTTTCAACACCAACAGAATGGAGATAAGACCTTTCCTTTCATTCCTTGCCTGCGGCAAGAATTGCATGAGGAAAATTTGAAGTGGGAGTGCAAATCTTATCTTGCGGAGAGCATGGACCAGTACAATATATTAAATGCCTTGTGCCTTCGCAGGTGATTCTCATGTCCCGAAGCCTTCTTTCCTTGTATTTTTTTTTTGAGGCATGATGCCATAAATTCTTTCTCATCAATTTCTGCTGACGTAACTTTGTGCCTATTTGGCACTGGTATTCCGGTGCAGACACGATCGTGCGTAACGATAAAAGCTTTTCAGTCGAACTCGCCATGCATTTCGATGGATCTCGTTCCTCAGCTGAGCCAACGTAAGTTAGTAAACGTTATAGACGAAATTCATGAACGACTCCCGGGAGGAAGTACCGGCGATTGTAGGAATAGGAGAGGGTGTTTACCACGCCACATGTCGGAGACTCGGGTGGTGTCGTTCTGGACCTTGTTCAAGATGTCCTGCTGTCGACGAGGTTGGAAATACGTCCCCGCGATGTTCTCTTCGGCACTCTTCTGCAACCTCTACATTCCACAACACAATTCCCGTTAATCATTCTCGCTTCCTTTCCTGGCTTCTCAAAAATTGATAAGTTATCGATGCATGCATGAGCCTTCACATAAACGAATAAAACTTCCAAACTTTCAAGTGGATTGAATCTGTTCGCGTATAATTTTTTTCCCTAGGACATCGATTTGAGACGGGGAATTTTCTAACAAATGCTCAAAAAAATTCTTAACTTGTTAGAGCATTGTTACAATCATTAAATTGTTAAAGCAGCGCACAAGACACGTCCAACACCAAAAAGACCGACAAGCAGTGGAGTGATGGGAAAATTAGTCATCATGCAAACTGAGGAAGATGGTAGACCGAGAGTGGAAAGAAACGAAAAGGATGCACGAGAAAGTAGGAGGAAAAAGAGTGACCTGAAGGATCTTCTCCTCGTCTGTCTCGCAAAGAGGTGGATAATCGTGAGGAAGACGGTGCTCGGCCTGCTGATGGTGAGTTCTGCCCCATCCATTGCATTCTTCACGCATGCCAATAAGAAAAAAAGACCGAAAAGGAGTGAAACGTCTACGAAAAAAGAGTGCTCCGCTAGATGTACGAAATCGACACATCTCCGCATGGCAACGGACGAAACGGTCGGATTGCTGCATGCAATGCAGGCGACGCATTCGAGGGGAGAGAGAGAGACCGGCCTTGTAGAGGACATTATCGGAAGGGTCACCCTCATCGGAATCAATGTCTTGACATATTCGACCGGGGGCTGTTTGCGAAGACCCTGGACTCCTCTTCGCCGTTATCACTCCGTTCACTGGTGGCCCTGTACGGCAGCATCCCCATTACCACTTGGATCTCGAAAAAAGCGAATTTCGGAACGCTCTCGGCCGTTCGCGCCTTCGCTTCGTACTGCCCTCGTCGAGAGCACTGCGATGTGCGCGACGAAGTCCACAGGGAAATATAGAAAATGCCTGGAAACCCTCCGAGTCGACTCCGTTTCCTGACCGCATGGGACTGTGTCCGATTTCCCAGCGAGAGGAACCAACGACCCTTCGGTCACCGGAGAGGGAAAGCGGGCGCCGCCCTGCACGTTCCATTCTCCCAAAGAAGCTACTTAGTTCATACTTAGTTCACGTGGACACCGTCGAGTCGGAATGTCATACCGGTGCACGACCAACAGTGCTCCTCTTTTATCTCTGTGCACGATTTCACAGAGAGAATGGCTTACCGGAAGCAAAATACCCCCGTAAAGGTATCCCTTCCAGCTCAGGACATTTCCCCCCCATGGCGGTATAGGTGTGCACCGAGTGTGAGACTAATCCTTTTTCAATCCTTTTTCTACTTTCCTCTTATACAGTAAAAGCCTGTCGTGACGAAGTCGAATACAATAAAATTATCCGCAGAGCGAAAATATTCTGAATCTCCATCTAAATGTCCATAACCTTAAAAATCCCGTTTACAACGAACTTCTTGGTAAAATATTTTGCATGGTCCCTTGTCTCTTCCTAAAAACTGCGTTTTACTGCATGCTGAATTTATCTACTTAACTTCGGATGCAATTCGCACCACCCTCTGCTGACTTACCTTATCGTTGAGCTGGAAAACGGAGCAGATAGGAAGCAGCACGTTTCTTCTTACTTACTATATAACGTGCAGTAAAAGTCGGTGAGTCTGGATGTACACTAATGTTCGTAAGAATCAAGTGTTTGGAGACGAAGAATGTCCTCGATAATCGACGAGTCAAAACTCTAAGGTTTCCCCACAAACGTCTCAGGACGTAAGTGAGATGAGATCTTTTATAAATCTACACCAAAGCCATGAAGACGATTGGTCCGACGTCATGGGCGCGATGGACACGATCCAACGTCTTCAGCGGACATGGACGTGCCGGGAAAAGGTTCCAGCCAAATATGAGGGGATGGAAAAGTTCGTGCTCTTTATTTTTCAAACTTAGAACACATAAAACGCTTGCACCTGAAATCCGCATCTTGTTATTTCATGATTACGGCAAGTCTGCATGACATTCCAAAAACTTCGCAGATTGGCAAGCCTTGCCAGAGTGGAAGTAAACAATTATGGTTGAGGACCTTGTGAGAGTGCACCGGATTGTGAGGGTGAGAAGGCCGCAATCATCCACAAACGGCTGCCAAACGTTTCTGAGGACCAATGCTCGAAGGAACGAGCGGTGAGTGGGTGGAACGATTTAAAACCGGACAAACGTGAATCGAAGGTGACACTCGCACGGGCCGCGCCCCAGCACGTCGGTCACTCAAGTCAACATTCAACGTGTGGACCAGCTCATTCGGGCAGACCGTCGCATGTCAGTCGATCAATTGGAGCATCAAATATTGAGACCTCCGAACATGAGAAACGCTTTTCTTCGTGATCCCGGGACAGCATCTTTGGCACCCGTCGGCTTGACACCTTTGAATAACCAAGACGGTCGTGCACGATCTCAAGAATGGTAGGTCCTCAGCCATCTTTGTTTACTTCCGCTCTAGCAAGGCTTACCAATCTGCTCTGCTAAATTTATGGAATGTCATGCAGGCTTGCCATAATCATAAAATAGCAAGATGCGGATTTTAGGTGCAAGCGTTATAAAAAATAAAGAGCACGAACTTTTCTCATTCCCCCCCCCAATAATATTGTTCGTAATCCAATCATCCCTAGTTTTTCCTGTCAAGGACGATCGTCTTACTCTATTTCCATGCAGTCATTCCAATTAATAGCAAGAAGAACGAGAGATAAGACGAATCGGCCAGTGCTTCGGTTGAAGATGCAGTCTGTGAATTTAGGGTCGGTGAGAAATGCCACCAAACCCATTAGGTCAATCCATTGTCTACCTAACCTTAAAATAATAATGTATAATTAAAAAATTAGTTTAAGGCTGAAGCTATGCAGATTCCAGCGGGAGCTTACCCTCGTGCAAGGAAGAGTTAAAGACGCATATTCTTTTAAAATAAATTCATGGAAAGAGTGGGAAAAGAAACCTCTGGCCTCAGACCCTCTTGGAATGCGTGACACGAGTCTCCTGAGACTGTTTTCAGGCTAAAAATTAATGGGTTCTAATAATGAATGAGCCGGATGGACGAGTTCTCACGAGAACGGATGAAGACGAAAGAGGACAGAAGTGCAAGTACCTGCAGGAGGGAATTTCACTTTGGTGATGATGACTTCGGGAATCCTCCAGCGTCGAGTCTCCTCCTCCCAAACCGCTTCCTCCTTCACCCTCTCTAAATTACTGCATCACGACACGACAGTGAGATTCTGCAACCCAGGTCATGGAGAGGAACGCAGGAGAGCGAACGCACCTGTAATTGGTATCCTTCTTGATGAGCGGCTGAACTCGTTCCATGATCTGCTGAAAGAGCATGATCTGCTGGTCCTGCTTGCGGATCGTCTCCAGGTAATCCACCCGGTCTTTTTCGAATTCCGACTGAAGATCGGCGATCTCGCTCTCCAACGCTTTCACCTGTATCACCGACGATGCTCGGTACATCCACCCGCAGTCATAATAAACACGAACAGATTCTCGTCCTTCATACCCGGGATTTGTACTTCTTGGCCAGATCGGTCTTGGTTTGGAGGTCCTCGTGGATGTCGTCATAAACCTTGGTGAGCATGGCCCCATCGTCTTCGTCGACTTTGGACAAGGCCATCGCCAGGGCTTCCATCCGCTTCTCGGCTGCCTTCTTCCTCTTCACTCGCCTCTCCTTGAACTCGGTGTCGTTCGCCTTCTCCCCTCCCACCAAATTCCCTTGCAACTTCTCCAACCTTCCAGGGCGAACAACCGGTGACGTCCGATTACTTTCGTTCCTCTTTCGATCGCAAGCAATCAAAGCTTATTTGTTCCTGGATTCACTACTAAATGTGAGTATTAAACGGGTTGTAGGAAGTGAGAGCTGATGGAAGACGTTGGATGTTGCGATGAAATATGCAATACCCTCCACGTTTCATACTCGGCTGCTTGGCGCTAAGAGCCTTCATTTCGTTGGTCCTGGGACGCTTGGCGACATCGCAATTCGCAGAAGAGGCGAATCTCATTGTTTCCGCGGTTTTGGCTGCGACGTCAGCAGTGAGAAAACAATATTTTGGCTGCGACGTCAGCAGTGAGAAAACAATCACATGACACACGAAGGCGTGCGATTGCTGCGCATTAGGGAGGGAATCTTTTCTGGGTTAATTTCTTCTAATTTCATCCGGAGTTCTATTCGGTGGCGACCGGTGAGGTTAAAAAGCTTTTAAAAGGGTTTATTTTCACAATTTCTCTGAGTCTGCCCTGCGTCTGGCTCGATCTGCCATGGGTAAGGATAAGCACCCCTTTCAAAATTCATCGTCGATGAATGTAAGCGGTAGTTCGACGTATGCGAGGGTCGAGGGTGTTTCGACCCAAGAGTGCCTTTTCTCCAGCTGTCAACCACTGACAGCGATGGCGTCGTCCTCATCACCGTCGAAAGTTGAGACGTGGAAGGTGTTTGCTTCGACGTCATGACATCGAGCGTCCTTCAAGCATCATATCGCCCAAGGTCTTTCCAATCGATCATCGCCACGTCATTCGTATTTTCGTCATTCATAATAAAGTCGCCCGGCGAGCATCGGAACATCTAATGTCTTTATGTCGACCATTTTAGGATCTACTGTATTGGAGTCAAGAGTCGTTTCATCTTGGATTACGGTCTTGGAGCGCCATTGTGAAAGCAATGTCACATGAAGACCATGACGGATGGAAAGACGAATGATGGGTTATAAAGCAAGGTGAATAGGGAAAGATACATTCAGCCAGTCGAACGGGAGAGACTTTGAATTAGTTCTGGCCTAAAATACTCAACGTAGAAGTGAGAGACTCAAAATGAAATCAAGAGTTAAACCAAAATCCTTCATACATTCAATAATGATCGTGACTAAAATTTAAAAAATAATCAAAGAAACGTATGACATTTTGATTATCTTGACATAATTCATCTGAGGAAATACTAATTACTCGTCACGATGGCCCAAATTAGGCCATCCTCTCGATCCATCTAAGTTCACAGAGGAATGCTCTTTTTATGAATAAAAAAATCCACTTGTATCACGAAACCATGTGTCACATCTCCTCTTTACTCGTACTAAGTTGGGAAGTCGAAGGACTTGCATGCCTTTGTATCGGCCGTCGATCGAAACAAGAAATAGATCGTTTGTGAAAGTCGATGGTTCGAAGGAAATTTAAACCCGTACAGGCTGGAAGAAAGCAAAGGAGAAGGCTGGCTATCGTGTTCCGAGTGGAATGGATACCCCTACTTTCGCTGTTGCTCTCAAGATAACGTAAACCGAGCACTCATCCTTTGAATAGGCCTACGTAAAGGCAATCCAAGCTTCCAGGGACAAACTTGTGCAAACGTATTTCTAATGCACATGGTAGCCCAGAACTTTTGTCTCTACTGGGGTTATTAAAGGAGACATCAGAACTCTGGAAAATGTGGTTTTGGTAATACAGAAGAGCTGAGGGAGAGAGGGAGGGAGCGAGAGAGATGGAGAGAGAGAAAGAGAGAGAGATGGAGCCCACGGAATCGGGTGGAGGGAGGCGCCTGATACAGCAGCAGCGTTCATGGCCAGAACGTGTTGGTCAATTCAAAAAAGGATTCACGGGAAACGGGACGAGACTCATGGAGACATAAAAGACCGTCCGGGGTGAATTTCGTGCGGAGAAGCCATCTCGGAAAAGCTGAAAAATCGTTCGTGACTCCGAGAAACGAGACCGAAGCACTTGCCATTTGGAAATAAAAGCAGAAGGCCAAGCCTCACCAAGCAGAAGGCCAAGCCTCACCAAGCAGAAGGCCAAGCCTCACCAAGCAGAAGGCCAAGCCTCACCAAGCAGAAGGCCAAGCCTCGCCAAATGGTGAGGAAGGAGAAGGTTCCTCGTTTCCTTGCTTAACGAGGTTTTAAACACCGGCACGTTCCATCGACATCAGAAATAAAATAAAATAAAACAAATTCGGAATGTGGTCATCTAGTGAACTCGTCGGAGGCCGATTTCTTGCCTCTTGCGCCATCAGATAAATATTTTGCTTTCGTATCGTTCGCAAGGAAACGATGGACGTTTCGGCTGTACGACGTGATGATACGACAGCGGAACATTCTGAGAAATCCCGACTGCGTCGCCATTTCCGCAGCGAAAAAAACCTGAATTTCGGTCGCGAAGCCGGCGAGGCGGAGTCGCGGTGGACGCCATCGCGGGGAAACGATTCCGAGAAACCGACCGATTCCGTTTGCGAGGAGCGAGGACGACGCCGCGAATCTCGGGGAGAATGGGGATTCTCCTGGCACGAGGGCAACGGGGATCTCCAAGCCCTTCTACGTCGAACGAGGATTTGTTTGGAGATGCAGAACGGCCGGGAAGTGGACCTCGTCCGATCGATGGACTCGGCCGGCTCGTCTCGTCACACGACGAATACGAGGCCGAAAGCGTCTCGAGCAGTGTTTCCCAAACGGTGTGCCGCGAGTAAGGCTTGGGTGTGCCGTGAGATTTGAGAGTTGACAAAAATAAAATATAAAAACTTAAACTAAAAAAAAAAACTTAAAAACAAGATGGAACGCCATCTCTCAGTGAAAAACGAGCTGAGAGTTGCACTATCACGCCTCGTATCAGAGCGCTGTGCTCAGCGAAGCAGGCACAAGTTTCCCATTGAAAGTAAGTAAATGGCTGGGTGTGCCGTGGAAAGTTCGATCGTCCTTATGTGTGCCGCAAATAAAAAAAAAGATCGGGAACCTCTGGTCTAGAGGACTCGGAACGTCCTAATCGCACGGGCGACGCGCAGATCGCCTCACGATTCCGATTCGACCTCGAACGATCTCGGACGATCTTGGGTCACGATCGGGTGGGAGTCCGTCTGGTCCATCGACCGATTCGGTTAACTCATTTCGGGATGCGTCGTCTCTTTTCCCCTTGTATCTTGTCTTTTCCCCTTGTATCTTGTCTTTTCCCCTCGTATCTTGTCTTTCCCCCTCGTATCTTGTCTTTCCCCTGCTCGGGCGTCCGAGGATCCTTTCGCTTTCTTTTTAGAAAAAGTAAGGGACGGGTGATGTTGCCGTGGACCTTAAATGAATCCCCCTCGTGGCATGCAACGTCGAATCACCATTGGTTCGACGTTGGGTCAACGTCCGGATGTCGAATCGACATCGAATCGACGTCGTTTCAATGTTATGTGATGTCCGTCCTCGCCGCTTGAAGCCTCTCGGGCGACGCGAGACGTCGTTCCGCGCTTGCGTCTCGACGGCGCCATCTTTCATTCCCACGCCAGGAAACTCTTTCCGACGTTTCCCGTATCCGTCCTAAACCGTTTTCGTCGGGTGTTTGGGGTGGTAGCATTCCATGATGGAATTTTAGCTCATTTCCCGCTACGTGGGATGGATTAGAACGCTCTTCGTAAAACGAGAACTGCACCCGAGTGTAGTAACAGGAACGTAATTGAAAAAGTAATTAGGACTTGAGTGACTCCGGGAACAATGATTCAAATAAATCTTAATTACTTGGCTTTCAAAAAGAATGTAGGTGTTTTTTTAATTATTATTTTTTTTTTAAAAAGGTCCTTCAGCACCCGAAATTTGAGGTACTTCCAGATGGCGACGAGCAACCAGAGTATACCTAGCAACAAATGAAGAAGGAAAAAGAAAAAATTTCATTTCTGGAAAAGATTTGACTCACTTTTTAGCCATTTCGGTTTGATCGGGCCTAGAAAAAGAGAGAAAAATTTGTCACACCTGCAGTTTCTGTCGACACGGGAGAATTCGCTAGAGGTTTAACGACGTCTCCACTCACTTTTGCTTCTGGGATTCTGTGATCTGTGCGGGAGAAAAAAAAAAAAAAAGGGAAAGGTAAAGAGAGAGAACTTTGAGAAAAGTGCGTTTTTCGAAATCGGTCGAGGCTTCAGTCCTTCGCCTCTCGTCACCTTTTCGTTGAGTTGAGCGAGTTCCTGTTCGTATCGCCGTTTGAGGGCTTCCACGTCGTGTTGCATGGCTTCTTTGCTCCGTTGTTCCGCCTCGTATTGGCGGGACAGCGCGGCCATCTTTGCCTCGTATTCCTGCCTGATCTTCAGCTTCTCCGCTTCCATCGCCGCTTCGTCGACCACCACCACTAGCGAAACGTTCGGGTGAGTCGTGAGGCTTTATCGGCTGTCGGGTCGACTCCCGAGAAACAATTCCACGAGAGGAAGCCGCGTCCCGATGCGACCGGGAGAGAGAGAGAAGAGAGAGAGAAGAGAGAGAGAAGAGAGAGAAGAGAGAGAGAGAAGAGAGAGAGAAGAGAGAGAGAAGAGAGAGAGAAGAGAGAGAGAAAAGAGAGAGAGAAAAGAGAGAGAAGAGAGAGAAGAGAGAGAAGAGAGAAAGAAAAGTAAAAGAGAGAAAGAAAAATAAAAGATAAATGAAGAAGAGATAAATGAAAATGAAGATGAAGGGCCTCTTGATTCCAAAGGCTTCATTCCTGTTACAAATGGAAACGATTTAGTGCAATCAAAATGTTCACCAAACATGTTTGGGAAAGTGTATATCGTGAATGCCTCAACATACAGCGTCAAAAGTCCAGGGATTTCATTTTTTCCTTGAGGCTCCTCATCTTCAAAGCCAAGTGATCGTACTTGCGGTCTGAGTTTTCCATGAATCGATGAAGATCCCTCTCTCGCTGCATGATCTTTTTCAGCCTCTTCAGTTCCTGCTTCATCAGTTTTCTCATTCGTGCCAGCTCTTTCCTCCTCATTATTTCACTTTCAGCCGTCACTGCCATTTCGTAAGTTTTCAAATATACAGGCCGAGGTAGAAGTTACTCTTCAGCTATTGTATACTAAGAGTAGCTATTGTGGAAAGTTTATTATCTTTGTTTCAGAGAAAATACTACTCGATGAACTTTTAACTCTTGAAATAAAACTGCAAGATCATTTTCTTCTTATTTGTGTTTTTGTTGAGAGCATCGGTCAATATTACGTCAAAAATTGAACTACTTCATGTATTCTCGATATGAAATACTTCATGTATTCTCATACCTCGATCATGCCCTAGTTCATGCTCAGAGGTTAGACCAACACCAACCTAGGACCTGGCCATTATTATTCGATCCCTCGATCTGCAAAGGAAGCCTCAAGGAAGTGAAGCAAAATCCGTGATCGTTCTCGCCTATTGGACTCGGGAACTCGCACCTCGCCGTGCCACGCAGACCAACTCTCGACGCGATGGATCTTAAAATTCGTGACGTTCGAGTTCTCGAGACGGAATCCACCTCACCGAATCGGAAAAAAATATCAACCTTTTTTTTTTAAATGACAGGTTGATGAATATTGTCGAAATACCTACACGCAATAAAACACGTCTTTCTTCTATCAAATTAGCGCTCACATTGAAGATATTTAATCAACAGCAGAAGTAGTTCTAGTTTTATATTAACTGTATAAGACGTTTAAAATGTGGGATCGCTGGGGAAACGGAACAAAACTTGGAAGCCGATACATCGGCAGCTCGTCCATGCGAGAAATCGAGCGCGCCGATATATCGGCTTATCGGCAACTCGGAGACAAAGACGGAAGGTGAACGACGAAAAATGCTCACATCTCAGGGACTCTTGATACAGGGTTAATTCCATGGAAAGCGCAAGAATTTCCTCCTGCTGATGAATCGATACCATCGAAAGTAAGTCCTTCGATGCCTGGAGAAATTGTTGAGGCATGCCGAGGCATCTCGGTTCAGGGACTTACCAACAGAAACAGGTCCTCCATTTCACGGTCTATCCCCCGCCGCTTGTCTCCCTGAGTTCAACAAGTACGTTCCATGTGTGAGGACCACCCCTGTTTGTGTTTCGTTTTTTTTTTTTATTTACGCTCTTTTTTTTCCTTTGTGCTTGTTCGTATGCTTCTTTGTGCACTTGTTTTATCACGAATTCCTGCCGAGCTGACCGATTCCGACATACCTCGTATACTGTATATCGCTTGAACCTTCGGAGAGCTCCACTATTTTTCTTCGGACCACGCGTAAACATTTTTCGAGCAGACCCTAAGATTGCTCGAGGTGAAAAAGCCGTAATGTTGCCGATCGTTTATGAAGAATCTCCGAAGCGATCTTCCCATATGGCTCGATCGAGACGGACGAGGAGGGTCGGAAGGTCAAAACGGTACTATCATTGGATTGAGTTTCGGTAGGTGAAAACAAAGAGAGGTTTCCCAGATAACGAAACGAATGAAGTAACGCATTGTACCTCGCAAAATCATAATAATAAAAACATACCCGTTCCTTGGATCCTTCCGCTTCCCAGCCGTCAAAGTCCTCGGGGAACGATCCACTCCTATCGATACCTACGAGAGGAACTCTCATATGTTAAAACTATCAGCAACTTAGGATTATCATCGAGCAATAAATGTTAAAGAAGATGACTGACATTCAAAGTAATCCAGTACTTTTTTGAATCCTTTACAGGACGATCTCTCCATCACGTCGAGGTCTTTGCAAAAGGATTCTGTCGTCTTGAAGTCGATCCGAAAGAGAAAGGCCTAGGTATGCCTCTTAACAATAGCTTTAGGTTCCGAGGACTGGAAAATAACATTTTCCTACAATTATTAAGGTTCACGCAAGAAAATGTCATCGGAAATGTCCTAGTAAAGTCAGCGAATGTAGGGTATCCAAAAAGCCTCAGCTTAAATTCGTAAATACGGCTGCTGGCCTTCCCTCAAAACATCAACTTTCTCTTTCGACCTCTACAGTATGGCTTCATGAGCATTCCATCTTTTTACACACGCGTTTTCCACGCAAAATCAGGGTGAAATTGGACCGGTGTTTCGTCATCTCATCTCCACGTGCCATCCCCGTGCGGAAGGCGTTCCGTGGGTCAGGGCGAGGCTGGACTTCGATGAGTCCTGCAGTGAGGAAAGACCAGCACACAAGGTCCTCGGCCGCGAAGAAAACGCGAGCCATCCGAAAATCTCAACCAGGAAGCAAGAGCCGAACGCAAAAGTAAAAACAGGCAAACCGGAAGGAAGGTAATATTGAACTTGAGAAACGAAATGAAAACGAACTTTTCACGGGACGAACTTGA